TACAGTTGTCTAATAAATACATGTATATAATAATAATAATAATATAAGTTCGAAAAATATTATAATCAAATTTTAATATATAACTATTTCAAATCAGGATATTCTTTTACGGCGACGCAGCAAAACATGGACATTATATTTCGATGACCAAGTAAGTATGGTTTAAGCATCTCTGTGTACCGCTGCCTCATTGTTTTGACGGACACTCGCCCACCACAACACACATCATGATAATTAAACTGTCCAGACCCGCCACAACGCGTGATTTTCTTATGACAGGAAGATGAATGGTCAGACATCTCACGAGTGTATGAAGATATAATATATGGAAGGTGTCTTGGGGTCGTGTTTGTGTGTGGTGCGTTTTGCATGCTTGGGTGTGCGCGCGTATATATATATGTGTGTGTTATGTACTGTATTCTTCCGTGTATACAGTATATGTGTGTGTGTATGTGCTTGATAAATCCCCCCAAATTCAAAATTCTTCAGTCTTTATTTTCTGTTTCCTACTTGAATAAATTTGCATGTCTGGGGAATGGTTAATTTTAGTACTGAATGTTAAGATTTTACGTTGAAATTTGCCTGTTTACTGACGTCGGCGTTGTAAACAAATTGTAAAAAATATCCTTGTGAGACTGGTTCTTGAAGAATAGATACTGCATATGTGCATGTATTTATATATTACTTAACTTCCACAGACGGGAATCGAACACTGGACCTACGCTTTAGGAGTACAGGATTGCTACGACCGAGCTATCCAATAGAAGGGTGAGTAAATATACGAGTTATTCGATTTGCCGCATATTCTTATTTCTGGGAGAGGAACGTTTATCTCCTGGGGTAGTCGTGGCGTTAAGTGGTGCTATAGAGTGTAAATAGTAGTGTTAGGCCGTAAGTGATTTTGCTGGATCGTCTCCGTACTTTTTGGCCCATAAGAGACATAATTGAACCGTAAGAATCATTTATAGACTATAAAAGGCATTGCTAGACCGCAAGAGACATTTCTGGACCCTAAGAATCAAATATTGAACCAAAATAGGGTCAGAAGACAGGCCAGCTCAGTGACCCCAGCCCCTGCGAGCAAACACGTGACGTGCGTACCAATACATTACAGGGTGTTCGGGAAAACATATCGTGCAGTACACATATACACACACACACACACTACCTCCTCATAGCAATAATAAATAGCAATAATAAAAACATCTTAATTAACTTAAGTATTATCCTCTCCCCTTTACAAAACAAGTAAGTTATAAAATACGTACAGTTGGTGATCATGTTTACTGCTACACCATAAAAAAAAACTTGTCGTAAAACGTTTTATAACCCTGGGTGACACACGCCGCCAGGCTACACAGTGTACACGCTTCTAGCACTTACCGACCAAGTGTCCTCGCTTATCAGTTATCGCCTGGAACTGTTTATATTACTTCTTTAATGAGGATATCTGGTCAGGATTAATAATATTAGTGAAGTAATAATAATAATCTTACTTTACCTAACGTAATCTAAGCTAACTTCACCTAATCTAATTCAACTCTAACCTGACCCAACCTAACCATCATCATCGTAGAAAGACAGACAGACAGACAGACAGACTCCCAGTTCTAATATTAACCCCCAAACAGGTAAAATGTTATAAACTTGTGTAGTTAAAGAACAGGAGACTACGTGTTGTCGTCTCACTCCAGCTCTCAAGGTCTTTCTCATCACAAACGCCCTTCAGTAACTTGTAAATAGCTTGTTTATTTATTTTGTGTGTGTGTGTGTGTGTGTGTGTGTGTGTGTGTGTGTGTGTGTGTGTGACCAGCACACCTGTAGTATCGCGTGTACCTGCCCACTTGTGAATATTAATTACCTCTTCTCACCTGCCTGTACCTGTGATTGTTAATTATTTTCTCTCTTCATTATTTTGTATCTGTTGTTGGTGATAGTGTGTTGTGTATATTTTAGTTCACTATCGTCGCTAATCAAATCACACCACAGCTCACCACACCACACCACACCACACCTCACCACACTACACACCTCACCACACTACACACCTCACCACACTACACACCTCACCACACTACACACCTCACCACACTACACACCACACAGCTCACCACACCACACCACACCACACCTCACCACACTACACACCTCACCACACTACACACCTCACCACACTACACACCTCACCACACTACACACCTCACACACACCTCACCACACCACACCACACACACCTCACACACACACCACACACACCACACTACACACCACACACACCTCACTACACCACACACACCTCACTACACCACACACACCACCGTACCTCACTACACAACTCACCATACCTCACCATACCTCATCACCAGGCGAGTTTTAATACGTCACAGGGATCTTAACGTCAAGGGGGTGTAGCTCAGTGGTAGAGCGCTCGCTTTGCATGTGAGAGGCCCCGGGTTCGATCCCCGGCACCTCCAGTCTTTTTTGCTAAAGCTGGAGAACGTTTACTACATATGGATTAGTCCCATGATTCGTAATGTAATTTTTTCCTCTGATTATATAGTATTTGTGAGGTGTTATGTTGGGTCATTTAGGTACAAGATGGCTGCCCAGAATTATATGAAAATTGTACTTAGATTTTAATGGTAACACACACACACACACACACCCCACACACTATGACAGAGAAAGGTGATGAACTTATAACAAACCAGTGGACGAAAAACTAACTTGCTTGTTTCATCAAAGTATTATCGAGTAGGTGTCCCGGGCGAGGTGGAGTACCTATACTTGTGCCCGCTTACAGATGATAGCTGCAGCCGCCCCCATCATTATCACATTACCATATACCTTTTACCTTCTCGTTAGTGGAGTCTTTTAACACGCTGGGGAGGAGTGTAGATACTGGTGACTGATAAACTGTGAGAAAGTAACACGTTGTCGTTGATTCTGTGATATTTTGGTATTTTTGCATGTGTGAGGGAACGAGGGAAAGGAAGACATGTAATTTACTGCTTCAGGTCTTATACTGAGGTGATGTTGCCCCTGGAGTCCGTCAACACACTCCCTCCCCCCTCTCTCTCTCTCTCTCCTTTTGTCCTTCCTTTTCATGCTTTCCCATCCCCTCTCTCCTTCCCACCCGTCCCTTCTCACCCTCCATCTATCCACCCTCACCCATACCCGACCAGCAGCGCGAATTGATTAAAACGTTGGTATGGGTGTAAGTACTCGACGGCCGGTGACTGGGATGAACGGCGGCCCCCCTGCTACAAGGTCATCGTTCACGACACGCTCTCACACCTTCCTCTTATCACGTGTGTATTTAAATGCTAAATCCGATTAGTTTGGGGGATTATTCCGGTTCTTGGGGGGAGGTGAGGAGTGGTGATGTGGGTTGAGTGGTGGTAATGAGGCAGGGAGGTCGAGGTGGTGGGGTTGAGGAAGGGTGGTAATGAGGTGGTGGGGGGTTGAGGAAGGGTGGTAATGAGGTGGTGGGGTTGAGGAAGGGGGTGGTAATGAGGTAGGGGGTTGAGGAAGGAGAGGTGGGGGTTGAGGAAGGGTGGTAATGAGGTGGTGGGGGTGGTGAGGTGAAGGAGGAAGGGTGGTAATGAGGTGGTGGGGGTTGAGGAAGGGGTGGTAATGAGGTTGGGTTAGATTGGGTTAGATTAGCGTTTAGGTAGTTATTCTTAAGGTGAAATAAGCTGGGAATTATCTTGAGACGAAATAAACAGGGGATAATCTTCATGTGATCCGTCATAAGACTCTCTAGTTTCTTAACTGGTGAAGGAGGCGCTGCAGGAGGCGTGAGAGAACAGGTGGTGATGGCGGCAGCAGCGAGAGTTCAAGTACCATGTTGTCTGCCAGCGGAGGAGTATTCTTGGGGTGGGGGCCCGGGGGGTGGGTAACCCTCTTCAGTACTGCCATATATACTTTTGTACATTCACCTGGGTAACACATATTCTTCTGGAGATAATAGAAGCCTCCTGGTACTGTGTCCACCATACCATCACACCACACACTAAAGTACCAGAATTCTAAAAAATAAAAAGTTTCACGGTTTTAGGAAGCTGCAGCGTTAGTTGGGAGTCAGACAAGTATGCATGATGTGTCTACAACTTAATATATAATTTATTTAGAAATTTTAAAGACTTGCTTAAAGGCAAATGGAGAAGTACTAAGATTAGCTGGAAGTGAGTAATGCTGGAAATTTATAGATTTAAGAAAGTTTAGATACTTACCCCACACAATTAGGAGTGACGGGATAATGGTAAGATATATTAATCGGTAAATTTAGGGGTAGAGGGACCAGGGGAGGGAGATAATGGGGTAGATGTTTAAATCTCTAGTCCCGGAAAGAAGGAAAATCTGGGAGGAGGGTAACATGGCCCGAAAACTTAAGAATGAGGGACGTGACCGCCAACCTCTGACATAAGATGAAATACTGTTTACGAGACAAGAATTTCGCCATCACTTTACTAAAGAATCATCGTAATAGCTCCCCCAACTATCGTATTAAATAAGAATACCGTGTTATCGTATAGCCATTATTGTAGAGGCTCGTATCTTCATACCCTTCTACAATTCGTACGTCTGGCAACGTTGAGCTAGATGGCTTGTGTTTGACGTCGCGTTGATCTTTCAATTATTTTGTATCAATATACGTGTTTCCTGTGTATATAAACTCAAAAGTAATATCACATGTGCGAGATATACGTTAAACATATTACTTATCAAAATTTTATCGTATTTCAGTAAAAAAATAATAATTTCCGGCACTACTTTTCTCAGAGTTAAGCGGTTTTTTCAGCCACGTCAAGTTTCTCAAATTAAAAATTCACCAAAACCATTCCAACTGTTTATTTTAATTAAAATTCCTTCGGGTTAATATAATAGAACAACATTTAGAGTATTATCATAAAGTTTCCATTTAAAAAGACCCGTTTCCAACATTTTTCGTCAATGAGGTGTGGATATCTACATTTGACAGTGGAACAAGGCATTTAGCCTGTTGGAGCCTTGAGGGAAGTTGAGGAACGCAGTCAATATTTTCCCAAGTTGGTGATGAGTACCTGACGGAGGCGGTGCAGCAGACGGAAAGTAAGTCTTCTAAGCCTTTACCAGAAGTTGACAACTTTTGTGCATAAAGGAGTATATGTGTGTAGTGCTTGTCAGGTCGAAAAGAAGAGAACGGCAGAGGCAAACGTAAGTAAACATGGCTTCCATATTTTCTCGAATCACTGCTGACAAGTTTGTAATGGCGTTAGTGCCGTGAGAGAAACCCGTGATTTATTGTTAGTTCAAGCATATTGTTCTTAAGTTTATGTGATACGCGTGTGAGTGAGGAGCAAAGTGATTTTTCAAGTATAATATGCTTAGTGTTGTCCAGTTGCTGTTGAATGCGAGAGCAGAGGTAAAAATGGAAGTGAATTATAGGCAGTATGGAGAGAAAGGTGGAGACATGCAGAGTAGAGTGATATGGAGGATTATGTTAGCCCGTCCAGATGTACTGACAACGTTATGAAAAATACTGTTAATAAAAAAGGATTGTCATTGCGTAAGTCGAATTTCAGTTTTGATGCAGTTTGTGTGTAGGAAAGGCGAACTTCGGTAATAGTCTACATAACGGTCGTGACATAACTAGTCGTATCACTTTTAGCTATGGTTGAGAATTGTTCTTACGTCAAGGTTATTACGTATCTGGTGTAGGCAACTTAAAATTCAAGGTTTTTGTTTCTTCAAGGTTCATAATTCGGACTCGGGAAGTAATTACAGTGATTCGTTAGTAGAGGGATAATAGGGTCACCATTGTTACTTGCAGCTGGCTAATACTTTGTCTGTCTGCCTCAGGGGGGGTGAAAGGGTGAAGGACGGACCCTTGGATGAGATGGGTGAGTACCTTGATGCGTGTGTTGGTCACTTTAGTCCCTCACCACCACACTTCAATTTCCTAGGTTCTGTTAATTGATGACGATGGGTGTTTTTTCTCTGGTTCTTAGTCATTTTCTTATTACTGTACCATATGATTTTACTTGCCATTACTTCATTTAATAGACAATTTGAATATAAAACTGTTTTATTGAGTGATGTGAAGTAACGCTGGTATCATGATATTTCGGGGTTGCGAGTATTCACAGGAAGGCAGTTTATAGTAAATTCTTGTAAGTTTTTAGTGTACGAGACACCGAGACCTTCCACCGTGCCAGAGTAATAAAAATCGAGGCTTTGTGTTGGCTTCCTTGTGTCCACAGCCCAGGTGTGTGAGAGGTAGAGGGGCTGTGTGGTGGGCGGAGGAGGGATCATGGTTAAGAACATCCGGCTTATGAAAAGACTTTATGCTTTACTCTTACGCTAAATGCAAATAAGCAAAAGCAAATATTCTCGCAAATATATCTTGGGAAATAAAGTTTGTTTATTATGGTAGTAAATGTCTCTTGGGTAACAACTACTACATGAATACGAAAAATAAATTGAAATGCCACGACACTTGTCCTGGAAGCAGCATTGGTTAAGGTGGAGAAGCGCATTATTGTGGTGCTGGTGGTCCTTAATCATTTATCCCAGTAACAGGGTCTTGGGGCAACATCTTCGTATATTCTGAAAGTCCTACAGAAATTATGGGAAATCTAGTGTGATTTAAAGAGACGTAAAAGGCACCGAGAAGTTGTAGGGGACGATGAGAGGTTATGAGAAACGGTGGTGAGGAACCTTGAAGATCGCCGTGAGAACAGTTGGGTGGAGTGTGGATGTGAGAAGACCACACCACCTCCGGGATAGCCAGCCAGGCAGACGTCCCTCACAAAACATTACAGTACCTGTTATCTGACTCGCTGCCAGCCTGCTCACGCCTGCCACTTCCTGTTTTGTATTTACTACCAATGCTACTACTCTACTTCGGTTGTATTATTATTATTATTATTATTATTATTATTATTATTATTATTGCTGCGGTTATTAGTGTTGTTATAATTATTACTATTCTTATTTTTACTATTATTACTAGTACTACTACAATTATTCTACTACCACCACTATTATTCTTTACTATTACTACAACTACCAAATTATACCAAATAAACAGATTTAACCATCGTATATTATCAAACACCGTAACAAAGTTTTAATCCATTTTGTTTCAGCTTAAATCATCTTGTTTGTCATGGAATCACTTAGACAAAATTCACCATATAAACCTTAATAATTCACCATATAAACCTTAATAATTCAGGTATGGGATGGTGGAGGAATTGTGATTGTAAGTTAATCAAGTGTGGTAAGCGTGACGACCTCTTGGTGGGGGGAGTACTTGGTGGTGTAGTCACTGAAGTGGTCTGTCTCCCGCACCACCCGGCTGTTCCTCTCTCACACACACATACATTCTCAGTGCCTTGTAGTGTGTTTTTGTGGGGTTAGCTACATCCAGCACATTTGCCTGCCGCCCGTGTAGCCTTCAGTGTGCGGCCTTGTGCGGGCGTGGGTTACGACGCCGCCCTTGGCCTTACGACCCCCCTGGTGAGGATGGTGTTGGGCATGGGTGTCAAGGAACAGGTACAGCACCCCGGGTTGATGCTGCCCTGGTGCTGTTATATCCGGATACTGAGTGATGTTATATCCGGCTATTGGGTGACTTATATCCGGCTACTGGGCGATGAGGTTATATCCGGCTACTGGGTGCTGATGTATCCGGCTACTGAGTGGTGCTCTTCTATCCGGCTACCGGGTGTTACTCTTCCCTGGGTGATGCTTCTCCAGTGCTGTTCTATCCGGCTATTGAATGCTGTTTCTCCCACATGGTTGAGCTCCTGCCTTCAGTGTTGTATCCGGCAGTATATCCAGTGCCAGGTTACCTGTAAGTAAGATTTAATTTACCTGTGATTACCTTTAGAGTTAATGGTGGTAATAAGTCCTTTTGTCAGCCAGTCGAGGGACCATGTGACGTCTCACATCAGCTGACTATTGTAAACGTTGACGGTTGCATAGTTGATCATTTTTTTAAGTCACGTGGTTATAAATGTTTTTTTTAGGTCACGTGGTTATTGGGTCTTTTCTTTAAGTTCACGTGGTTGTTAATTCTATTTAATCCATTCATATATGAGGAAATGGATTAAATTTCTCCCTAATTGTTTCGTGTTGTGGTCAAGACAGCAATGACACACTCACACAGACAGTATATAAAAGCATTGATGGTGTCGTAACAGCAACACACAATATGCTCCATACAAGAAGTAATTAACTACCTGATAGTATATCATAGTTAGGCAGACGTGGAACAATGGGCAGGTAAAGGGTGGGTGGGGAGGGGGGAGGGGAGAGGATGGGTGAAAGGGAGGAGGTGCAGTTGTTGGTGGGAGAGAGGGGGTGTATAGGTGAGGGGGATAGGGGTAAGAGAGAGGGGTGAGAGAGACAGGTGAGGGTATCTTGTCTCACGTCTCATTAAAGTCGTCCCATGTGTCGTCTGGTCAAGGTTGCACAAGTCCTTCAAATTTTTTCACCTCACCTGGACACCTCACAACAACCGGGAGCTGCAGGTGTAGTGTGTGTGCGTGTAGGTAGGTAGGTAAAGTTGTCAGTTCAAGTGTTGGTTTGCACAGGTACTCCCAGAATTCACCTCACAGTAGCGTCAACACATAGTACAGAATGCATTGTGTCCTAGACTAAACACTGAACCTTATCTTTGGTAAACTTCAAAACACAGGTCAAGGTTAAAGGTCAAAGAGAGAGGTTGGTTATCGACTCGTTAATGTTAGCTTGACCCGATATTGATGTTATGGTTTTTAAGTATAACAGGTAGGGCAGCTAGTAATGGCGATTGATTTATTAGTGTGATTTTGTTGGTAATAGATTATCAAGTCCCAGGAGGTATTATTACTTCTTATTATTATTATTATTGTTGTCATATACTATCCACTATTCACACACACACACACACACACACACACACAGATCCACTAAGATAGGTACCTTCCTCTCTCTCTCTCTCTCCCCACCAAAATACAAGACTATGGCAATATTACACATCCTCCTTGACATAATCTTTTACGAGGAACCAGTTTTTTCCCTTTCTTCCTCACACACACACACACACACACACACACACACACACACACACTACCTCATACATCACTATTTAAGATATAAAACAAAACTTCAGGCAGTATTCAGCTTTTATTCTTATCGTTAATCTCACAGGTGCTCAGGTGCCATACACAACCCAGACAGGTACTCTCAGGTAAACTCGCATACTAGCCGTCACAGGTACTCTCAGGTAAACTCGCATACTACCCGTCACAGGTACTCTCAGGTAAACTCGCATACTAGCCGTCACAGGTACTCTCAGGTAAACTCGCATACTAGCCGTCACAGGTACTCGGGTAAACTCACATACTAGCCGTCACAGGTACTCGGGTAAACTCACATACTAGCCGTCACAGGTACTCAGGTAAACTCACATACTAGCCGTCACAGGTACTCGGGTAAACTCACATACTAGCCATCACAGGTACTCAGGTAAACTCACATACTAGCCCCCCCTAAACCCTCCTACAGTAGTCCTGGAATCATAAGCCCCCAGTGTGTTACAGAATAAAAGTTAGTCTCATAGACCTCACGGTTAGGTAAAGGCAGTGCAGATACAGTACACTGAATACTCTTGCCTTAGTTATACACAAAGGGACAGTGTAGACAGCATTGTAACTTGACTGCCTTCACCCCCCTCCCCCCTCCCTCGTGCGTAAAGTAAGGTATTCAATCACACCTGTGGAGACTCCGGGGAGGGGGGGGGGGCTGGGGGCAAACCATTGACCCCTCTTAGGATAGGTGAGGACTGTCTTTGTACACTCGACCATCGCACTCCTGGTGTTAAAGAAGACATTACAGTATACAATGTACCCCTGATAAGTGTTTTCTGTTCATGTTCTGAGATAAGAGAGATAACAGATAAGCAGAGGCATGGTAGTATTAGTATAGTAAGTGCACAGATTATTTTGTATATATAGATAAGCTCATTGGATTCTGCCAAATTTTTCTAAATCGGAAAATTCAAGTAAGTTTATAAAATACCTCTGTTGGCACTGTTGGTGTGAAAGATTACTACAAGACCTGTATTGTGGCGCAGGTAGAGGCGTCCTTGAGATATATCTTGTCTGCAATGAGGCTTAAAGTCTTGTACAGCGATAGTGATCGTTGGAAGTTTAATAAATATATATACAGGTAAAAGAATACATCCGGGTGGGGGGAGGAGTTAACAGTAGTATTTTTCTAACAGGATGATTTGTATGGTGAGTGTAGGAGAGCCTGTATAGAGACTGTAGACTGCTATAGCTGCCCTCACCGTTCACCCTGAGTTATTAGACGTCTTCGCTCGGGTTTCGTGAAAGACACCAGCAGCAGTTATGAGGAATTATTGGCTCTTGAAGGGGAGGTAAAGTTGTAGTTTGTTGACATAAGATGGAGGATGAGTGTCTAGTTCAGGTTGGTGAGGTTGCTGCTACGTCAGTTGTTATTGTGTTGTGTGAGGTAGAAAGGATCCGCCTGGTTTGAGGAGGAGGGGGTTTGGGGTGTACATGACCACTACACACATCCATGCCTACCTGCACACCTAAGAGATGCATAATTAATGAGACAACATCCATCATACCTGGCCACTCCTGCCTAAATTGCTACAGGTGAATGTGTAGGAAGATTTAGGGGGGGGGTGTTTTCCTCCCTTTATTAACTCTTTTTGCTGCTGCTGCCTCACCAACAGATTACCTGAAAATTAGGCACCATAGCTTATTTTACCTGATGATTAAACACCTTAATGTTACCTTGGGATATCCTGTTAGAGGCTAAGATGTTTACCCGAGGTTAATGAAGTGTCTTACAGCAAGCCAAGACACGGTGAAGAGAGAGAGAGAGAGAGATATCGCAGTCATCCCTTCCCTCACCTCCGGCACCACACGCACTCTCTTCCTCCTCTCTATTTCTTAACAATCTTAGGTGTTTTTCACATTTTTGCCCTGACACTGGTAGCGCTGCGGGCACCTCTAGGGCACTACTCGTATCTACCTTTCAGTGGTTTATTATACCTGTAATTATTGACCAATCACAACTTCTGATCAGCCAGGCAACATGTTCTCATTTTTTGGGTGATGTGCCTGCTGGTGGTAAGAGCACTGGCACTACACTTCTCTGGAACTTGTCTCTTGCTGTTCCACTCGGTGTCCAAAGGATGTGTCATTTTTGGTCTCCAGTCAAAAGCAGAGGAAGTAGAGAAGAGAGGGGGGGGAAAGAAGGTCGAGTCTATATTTAAAAGCAGTATAGAGAGAAGGTTGAGGGTGCTCTGAGTTTTATTTCTACATATAAATCACTCCCTTTGAGTTTAGGGGGTGTGGCAGCTGAGTGAATACAGGGCTTATTTCCTATTCTAGAGGTTCCAGGTTTGTGCCCAGACCACCCTCAGTACACCCAGCTGTGAACAGGTACCTTAATATACAGTTGGTAATGTAAAGACTGTTGAGTGCAGTGCCGAGTTGATATATCCCTGTCACTCTTACCTATACTTACGTCTGATGCACTTGTAACTTTCCAGCAATTGGGGGGGCCTCTCAGAAGACCACCACCGTCAGAAGAGCTTCCCCGTGACGAACATGTTCCTCTGCCTCTTTAAAGCACTGTTGCGACATGAAGCTGAAAGATAACGTCACTGTTTACCTGTGATGTGAAGTGGATGCATTCACGTGAGTATGACCAAATGCTTTCTTCAGTAACTGGGGGAGGTTAATGTAGTGACAAGTCTTCGTTTCGACTGTAATGAGTAAATTGGTAGATGATCAAACCACGTATAGAGCTAACGCTGCAGTAGCTAGAGAGAGGGGTGTGTGTGTGTGCTAGTTACTTAAAGATGGTGGTGGTAGTGGTGTGTGAGTGATAAAGACGGCCCACCAGCTCATCCACACCACACTGACAGACAGACGGATAGATAGAGAGATAGATAGGTAGATAGATAGGTAGATAGATAGATAGATAGATAGGTAGATAGATAGATAGATAGATAGATATATATAGATAGAAAATCGTTCATGGTAATCGAAAAACAATGCCCCAAATTTGAATAAACAACCATTTAATGTTTGGCTATTTATTTTCGATAACCCTGTACCACCACTACCAACCCAGCCCAGGAGAACTATACCTTTGCATTATCAAGCCCAACCCAGTACAGTATATAGCCAGCCACATACCGCAGACTCGTAAAAGTATCCTTGGCTTTACTTGCTCTTCTAGATATAAGGATATATTGGCCGTAAGATTTACAGTATATAGGTAATACCGGTAGGCTAATCTCTCTCCACACACACCTGGGCCAGGACACTCCTTCCCGCCCGCCCTCCAGTCAGATTTATGTCTTAGTGGGTTTTGTTGGCCGTGTGACAGGTCCTCTTTATATACACTATCCCTCTTGAGCTGTCCTGATGGCTGCTGCACAACACGAATGATGCTCTGACGGGTGGATGACGTCTGTGTGTGTATATACGACTCTTGTAAGATGACGGTCCTTCCACCATCATTCTAAGTTATGTTCGTTTTTTTTTCACCCAAAAATTATATACAGTACTGTATATATTTCTATGCCGTTTCTTTATTTTCGAGTCGATTGTTTTTACCTTTTAAGGGAAAATGTAGATAATAATATTTATAAGTAATTTAGTTGTTTTTGCTTTTCTGTTGCCTTAATTACCGAACCCTTGATATTATTATCTTGAACTCGACCATACTGGTAAACGTGATAACCTGAAGATGGTGATAATAACAAATAATAATGGTAATAATAACAGTAGTAGTAGTAATAACAATAAATAATAATAATAATAATAGTAGTAGTGGTGGTAGTAATATTCTGTTGCTTAATATGAAATAAAAATAATATAAGTACTGTAAAATAACATTAATGTGTAAGTTACAAGTAAACAGTAATGATCTCTCTCCCTAGGACCTCTACACTTGCCTCTATTCACCCCCTCCCCCCTCAAGTGTTCATCAGTACAAGCAGCAAATGTGAAAGAGTCAGTGAACAGCAGCTAAGGTAGTGCCACCCACCTACCTGTTGTTGCAGAGTGCCACCCACCTACCTGTTACTGTAGAGCGCCACCCACCTACCTTGACTTGCTCGAAAGTTAATTTATATTTTGCACTTTTTACAAAGCTTTCTGAATGGGTGAAGTTCATGACTCTACCTAACCTAACCTGAGCTTTGGTTACTGTATAAAAGATAACTGTAGCGTAAATAATCCCAGTAAAATATCGCTGAAGATACCAGTAAGACAGTGTAAATATTCCCAGTAAAATAATGCTAAAAATGACCATAAAACAGTGTAAATAATCCCGGTAAAACAATGTAAATAGTCCCGGTAAAATAATGTAAATAGTCCCGGTAAAATAATGTAAATAGTCCCGGTAAAACAATGTGAGAGATGGTAGGTGGTTCTTTACGATTCTACAATCGGGCAGGCAGGTATGAATGCTTGTAGACCAGGTGTGTGTGTTTGTCAATTACCCTCATGTTTTATGGATGAGGATCTTGATTTACGATTTTTTCTGTCTCGTATGTCATATTTTTCTTCCAGTGGATGTGATTTTATTTTTATTTTTTTTTTGGGGGGGGGGGATGGGAGTGGTGTGTAGTGTGGATGGTGAGGTGTGGTGTATTTAGTTCTTCACTTAATCAGATTATCAGTATGTGGATCAAGACGCTATACAGTATACCCAAGTGGAGGGAGATTGTAACCCAAGGCTTGTCTAGTACAGTATTGGTGCGTGAAACTGCTCCATGATTAACACACGTTGGAGAAATAGTGTAGCAAGGATTATTTGGTTCATACTTTTATCTTTTACCTAGGCAATGATTTATGGGCAACACCTCACACAGGGAAGTCAGGTGTGAGTTCATGTTGATGCGTTTTATTACCTGAATGTTTACACCTTGATTGGATATGTTCGGTAGTGTCCTCGCTGTGGAACCTAAACCCGACTCGACTTGACCTGACCCGACCCGATCCAACTTAATTAAATCGGAAGGACTGTAAGGTAGTGGTGCTGGGGTTAAAAAAAGTTTTTGGTGGCCCTCTTGAGTTTTATAGACCTTTTGACCTTGAATACATGATAGATGAAGCTCAAATCCCTTTGTTTTTGTTTTTTTAGTGTTGTGATGATAACTGGCTGGCAGCACTTCTCATGACTATTTCTTAGGTAAAACACACACACACACACTCATCAGGTAAGGGTACATTTCTTCCAACAGGTGTACTGTGAAAGCGATATATGGGAACCAGGTGTTGAGAGATGGAGCAAGCGAGTCAGGAATTGGCACGTACAGACCAGATTCAGTTTACTATTTCATCACTGGGCGTTGGGGCGGTATGGTCTCTTCTCCTTTACCATGACCTGTATTGTCCAGTGTTAGTACAGGAGGGAAACCAGAGGAAGGAAAGTATGATGCTGTTTGTTAGTGAGGGTCGTACTTCTGGATAACACCCTTCCCACGGGCCAAGACTACTACTTCAGTACTCGAATCCATAAAGGTGAGAGATGTATGCACGGGTGGCCACTGTACTGCATCACTATGGACAACCTAGAGTTTTGTCACGGTATTATGTTAACTTGTGTGGGCGACCTGATGATTCGTATCCTCCACTCACTGTGTCCTGTCATGCCCCGAAACTACACGCACACACACACACACACACACACACACACACACACACACACACACACACACACACACACATCCCTCCCTTGTAATAACTCTTCCTATTACTTTTAATTAACAATAAACTGCCTTTCATATCTAAAGAAAACCCATTAAAAACTAGTCCCTATCTTCATTCAGTATTGCTCTTCCTAAATTATCATATACAACAGCAACAGTAGGCAGTGAATGAACCTTTTAACCCATTGAGTCCTGGAGGGTTAAATCATTATCCTCAAAGGGTTAAGACCATCATCCTCAAACAGTAAATCAGTAATGCTTCACATGATGGTACTACTTCCAGATGGGTTTGTTTGCTGGTGTGATTCGTGTGTGGAGTATGGTGGTGTGGAGGTGCCGCGTGCTCATCGTCTGTGCCAGCATCACCCTGGTCTTTCACAATTTACTCCTGAGTATGGATCATCTCGACAATAAGAAAACGTTCGTGTAATACATGTGTACTGTAGTGTGAGTGTTAAATGTGACTATCATCCCCTTTCTCTCCCTCTCTCACCTTCCCTTTTTGTGTGGCTCTTCATGTTATTTTGCCTGAAATGTGTGGTATTATATTCACCCAATAGTTCTGTTTGGTGTGGTCATTCTTGTGCTGTGGTAGATGTAACGTGTGTCTTTACCGATGTTGGTGTGTGTACTATGTTACCAATCCACCCTCCTGCTACAGTGAAGAAGACCGCGTTGTCAGCGTCACCATCCCTCCGTCATTAATAGGATGGCCTCGGCACCGACAGGGGGGTGAGGGGAGGTCCTGTACATCCCAGAGTAACATTGCCTTTCTCAAGACCCACAAATGCGCCTCCTCCGCTGTCCAGGTGAGCTGCTAACAAGAACATGGGGTGTTATCATTGTAACGGGCCGAGTTTTCTCTTTTCAATAATTTACCATCCAGCTATTCTTTTCAATGAGTATCCGGTTTTATATACTTATCCTTCTTCACTTCTTTACATACATACTTACTTTTATATATTCTTGCTTATATTCTTATATGTTCTTTATCTCTATATACCTTATATTCTTATATATGTAGCTTGTATGCTTCTCTGCTTATATTTTCCAAGTTAATGTTCTTTCTTTTCATTTCCTTTCATATATTATGATATCTTCCATATATTTTGTTCTAGTTATATTCTAAACCATGGATTAACCTGGGAAACCATGTCTTTGTTATTACCACACTTATTATACTTACAACGGTAGCCTGCCACCACCCAGGATTTTTCTAGAATATAACATCTCTTAGTTAACTGTTAGGTAGCGAGCTTCTAGGCACGTGAGTTAGTTATTTTCTGAGAACCAATGTGGGAAAGGATAGAGTGGTGATACTCGTAGACGTAGATTACTAATTCAATATTTATTAACACAGTGATTGGATAAGATGCATCTTAGATTCACTCAGACAAAGCAGAACTGCAATTTATTTCTTAAGTCATCAAACACTTCAAGAACTTATTACCTCATTAAATACCTCCAAATACTTATTACTTCAATCGACAATTGTGGTATTGTCACTCTGCCACATGATAGTCAGTACTGGGTATACACCAGATATCACTGGACCCCCAGGTCTTACCTTACCAAGTAGCAAATTAACTCTTCACTTCTTGGTTATATCATTATACTCTCAGATTATCATTTCATGGTCACTACCAATGAATACATAGCACACTGAACAACTCCACAATTATCTCAACATACAATACCTCCTGTTAATTCACAAGGAACAACATGGCACTTTTAACTCTCATTCAGTGGTTCAATACTTAACCTGGGATTCTATATTTCTGCTAGTTATCCCCCAAACAAGGTACCATAATACTTAGGCCTATGTAACTGTGAGGAGTGCCCCAGGGTAACGCTGGTCTCTACAACAAATGAAGATCGCTGTTAGGGGTCGGTTGTAGACCGACACACGCTCAGGGAGTGGGCGCCTGGTTTGCAGGAAACGGACTTCCCAGTTCAGTCCTGTCGAATTAACGGCATCGTCCAACCCGGTTACCGCCCCACGTTAGCCGATGAGTATTCAGCTCAACACACTGGAGAGACGTTGAGGAAGTCACGAATGCGTAAAGGTCTAACTTCAACTATACAAAACATACGCCTGGCAACGGTTCAGACAATATCTAAATCTCTACGTTACTCGACTTAATTGGCACAGAATTCACTATGTTAACACATGAGCACTGATATTCACCAAAATTGACTAAGTTAAACTGAATTAATAGGCGGCGGGAACACACGTTAACATACCTGGAGAGACGTTGAGGAAGTCACGAATGCGTGATTCTCCCTCGTGTCGAGGTATATACGTGCACTCGCGGGGCAGCTTGGGCCTCCGTATTCATACCAGAAGGGTCGATCTTACCAACAACATAACTTCTCTATCATTTTGGATCACTGTATACTTAGTTATGAACTCCGGTGTTCTTGATCAGGGTAATTTCCTATGTCTATTCATATAATCTAATCAGAGGTTGAGCTTGCCAGGAAAAGGTGGAATATACACGTCGATAACATTAATTCTGCAAGCTCAGGCCTGAGACGAAACAAGGAGCTAGTCACGGGGAGGCGCTAGATCTTGGAGATTATACCAGTTGACAGAATAGTTCAGGAGATTAATGACTTTCTCAAATAGACAACTGACACTAATTAAACTATAAACATCAGATTCTCTGATGTCGGGGCGACAAAATGATATAACTTCAGGCGCGATCAGAAACTCATGGATACCCCCACTGACGACATAAAATACGCCACTCTAGCTGGCAAACTCGACACTCACTTACTTGACACGTTCTACTAACGATAAGGACAGTTGAAGCATTCTACCCCACTCACAATGGATCTTGAATGTTCCAACTGTAAACAGACATATCTAAGTTGACTCAAAACAAAGGTGTTCTCTCTCACACTCGCATTCATTTTATAGAGAGGTTGGTTTCAGTAAGTCAGAAAATGGGATAACGGAGGACTGAGGTGTCTTGAAGTGATGAGAAAACGGACTCCTCAGATGGAGGACTCAAACGAAAGCCGAGTTACATGTTTTGTGGGCTATTGAGCGTAATATGACTCATTTGATTTTGGCGCTAACTGACGTGTAAGACCGTGGTCATTACATCATGTCCTCAGCTCCTCGTCTTGGGGGACTTCATATTAACTCGGTAGTGGTATTGACTGACTGAAGTTATTAGTAATGTATTGATTGACTGATTAATATAGTTTTATGGTTGTATGTTTGTTAATAAATTGTTTTCTTACCTTGACGATGAAGATGATGCTGGGGGTCTGCGTTGATGTGAGAGTGTGTTATTGTGGGGACTAGTTTATGTGTGTGTGTTTTATTGTTCATTTATCAGTCTCTCTCCTTCCAGAACATCCTCTTCCGGTATGGGCTGTCCCACGACCTGCGATTCGCCTTCCCACACCCCAAAGTCAACTATTTCGGAGATGGCAGAATTCCTTTTCATGCTGATATGTTGAAGGCTACACCATGGTCTAATAATATTACCATAAACATCTTTGCCATCCACACCAAATGGAACCACCAGCAGGTTAGGTTAGGTTGACTAAGGCATTTCACAATCCATTTGATTTCTTAATTCCCCGAATATCTTGTGTGTTTGTTTGTAAAAGAAAAAACAATACCGAGAATACATTGCTTACTTTGGTTAATTAGTCGTATCTCACAGGTGCAGCAGGTAATGCCACGGGACACCATCTTCTTCACCATAGTAAGGGAGCCAGTGGAGCAGTTTATCTCTCTCTTCACCTACTACGAGTTACAGAAGGTGACAATAGGCCTCTTGCCATCTCTACCCATTACCTACCTCCCTAACCTTACCTAACCTACCCTACCCTACCTAACAATAATAGTTTTAAATGCAGTAATAATAGTAGTTTTAAGAAATAGCTATAGTTTCAGTAATATTAATAGTTTTAAGTCATATAATAATAGTTTAAAGTCTCTGTGCCTTTAAGTGTTCTCTGTCAGTGATGGAAGTTGTTGCAGAAGACTAGGATGACCCTGGAGCAGTACATTGAGAAGAAGGAGGTCTATGGGCGGAGGTGGCGTGGCTATTTGGGTTTCAATCAGATGGTATGGGACTTTGGTATTCGCCCCCACCACCTGAACAACCTCACCGCTGTCAGTGAACTGGTGGGTGTAGTGTGTGTATATTTTACTTTTACTTTTACTTTTATCCTCTTCACCACTGATCGGCTCGTTAGCCATTTGGGTGATCGGTCACATCTCTGCTACACACTGTTGTAATGACCACGGTCTTACACGTCAGTTAGCGCCAAAAGCAAATGATTCATATTACGCTCAATAGCCCACAAAACATGTAACTCGGCTTTCGTTTGAGTCCTCCATCTGAGGAGTCCGTTTTCTCATCACTTCAAGACACCTCAGTCCTCCGTTATCCCATTTTCTCTGACTTACTGAAACCAACATCTCTCTAAAATGAATTTGAGTGTGAGAGAGAACACCCTTGTTTTGAGTCAACTTAGATATGTCGGTTTACAGTTGGAACATTCAAGATCCATTGTGAGTGGGGTAGAATGCTTCAACTGTCCTTATCGTTAGTAAAACGTGTCAAGTAAGTGAGTGTCGAGTTTGCCAGCTAGAGTGGCGTATTTTATGTCGTCCGTGGGGGTATCCATGAGTTTCTGATCGCGCCTGAAGTTATATCATTTTGTCGCCCCGACATCAGAGAATCTGATGTTTATAGTTTAATTAGTGTCAGTTGTCTATTTGAGAAAGTCATTAATCTCCTGAACTATTCTGTCAACTGGTATAATCTCCAAGATCTAGCGCCTCCCCGTGAATAGCCCCTTGTTCGCCTCAGGCCTGAGCTTGCAGAATTAATGTTATCGACGTGTATATTCCACCTTTTCCTGGCAAGCTCAACCTCTGATTAGATTATATGAATAGACATAGGAAATTACCCTGATCAAGAACACCGGAGTTCATAACTAAGTATACAGTGATCCAAAATGATAGAGAAGTTATGTTGTTGGTAAGATCGACCCTTCTGGTATGAATATGGAGGCCCAAGCTGCCCAGCAGGTGCACATATATACCTCGACACGAGGGAGAATCACGCATTCGTGACTTCCCCAACGTCTCTCCAGACATTGAGTGGGCAGTTTACGTCTTCCATGTTAAAAATGTGATGAACAGTGTTCATCTCTTGAGTGTCAACGGAAGTGTCATATTTACAAAGGTTATGTAATCCAATGTTTTATTTGTAGCTGTGGCATTTATTGGAAATATTGGTGTGATTTCAATAGAAAGTGTTCAGACTCTCATTTGAAGCCAATCTCTCAGGGTAGCTGAGGTGCCATAGTGCAGGCACTAGACTGGTGGCCCTCCTTTGAACATTTTCAATCAACTGACAGTCCCTAGTATGTCTCGGGGACCAGGCGGGGTGACAGTACTCCAGATGGGAAAGCACTTCACTCTTGAAGATCATTATGAGAGACCGACAGTCTAGATATCTGAGCGACCTTCTAAAAGACCTAATAATTTATTTGCCTGATTAACCTTCTTTCGCAATGGCCCGAGAACTTCAGCTCATTGTCAACATACACACCTAGGTCCTTCTCACATTGTCTCAAATAATACAGTTTCTTCATCCTGTTCGGACATAATATGCCTCCTTATCGTTGGTACGTCCCAGTGCATCCTCTTACACTTCGTGACATTGAATCTTGGCAGCCATTTCTTCGACCATTCTTGGAGCTCACAGAGATCCTTCTGCAGCTCTTCACAGTCTGTTTGATTCTTAATTTCCCGAAATAACTTGGCGTCATCCGCAAACATTTGTATGGAGGAATGTACAGCATCAGGCTTGTCATTTATGAAGCAAACAAACAGCGGCCTCAATACACTGCCCTGTGGTACCCCGCTTGTGATGGGTACAGATGATGATTTTGTGCCATTAATCAATACACACACTGCTTGCTGTCATGTAGAAAGTCTTCTATCCACGCTAGGACATCTCCCTGAATCCCGTACCCTTCCGGTTTAATTCATGGGATACTCTGTCAAAAGCCTTTGCAAAATCTAGGTATATAGTATTGTCGATATTACCACCCCATTCCAGAATATGGGTCCAAATATCCAATACCTTGAGTGTGAAGCGGGAGCGCCCAGGCATAAAACTCTGTTGGCAATTCTTTACAAGGTTGTTTCGTCGTAGATGTCCCATCGGTGCATCTCTGATAATACTCTCAAGTACCTTACATACTATGCTGGTCAGGCTCACTGGTCTATAGTTGTTCGTGGAGTGACGATCACCCTTCTTGAAGATAGGACTCACATAAGCCATTTTAAAATCACTGGGGACCTTTTATTCATCCAGGCATTTACAGAACAGAATCTTCAGGGGCTTGGCAAGCTCTTTGTACAACTCTATAAGCATTCTGGGATGCACCAGGTCAGGGCCGGGACACTTATGGACCTTTAGCTTGACAGTTCATTTCTTATACCCTCTTCTGTGAACACAATGTGGGTCAGTGCTGTGTCGAACCGTCTGTCCTCAAACGCAGGAAGATTAATCGCATCCTCTCTTGTGAATACCGAGGAAAAGAAGCTGTTCAATGCCTCGGCTTTATCCTGGTCAGAATCTGCGTAACTACCATCTTCAAGCCTCAGGTCTGGTACTCTTACTCACGTTTTTCATTTTGACTTTGCATAGTGGTAAAACGCTTTTGGGTTTGACTTGATCTCGCTGGCAACCAGCCTCTGGAACTCCTTTTCAGCCCTTCTACACACTGCCTTTGCTTGGTTTCTTGCTCTTGCATACATCCTCCAGTCTTGCTCATCGTTTGAGTTAACCCAGGTCTTGAATTTCTGGGTTTTCTTCTTAACTTTGTCGACCGCCGCATGGTTCATGTGTAGGGATCCCCTCACATTCCTAGAGGCACTGGGTTTGGTCTTGGGTATATATTTATTGATCAAATGGGTCACTTTACTAGTTATGATATTCAGCATAATGTCTGCATTCTTGTGCCTTAGTGAGTCAGGCCAGTGGATACCCCTCATCTCTTCCCTCATCCCGTTGTAATTTCCCTTGTAATATTTGCACCTTGGCCTGACTTTATCATGAACTAGGTAACAGTTAAATCTGAATGACAACACTACATGGTGACTGGTGCCAACCGGGGCTAGTTGTTCCTCGTTTGTTATGATGAGGTCTAGTGGCTTGGGTATTTGCTCCCCTCTGTAATATGTTGGGTCTTTAACATGTTGGAACAGAAAATTATCTCAAGAGTTTCTACAAAAAGAGTAGCAGGGTTATTCATGTCATTTGGGGTGAACTCGTTTCTCCAGTCGATGTCGCCATAGTTAAAGTCCCCCATGATAAGGAGGTGGCTAGGGTTGAGCATTGCAGCATTGTCTATTAAGGCTCTTAAGTTCCTTTGATTTAGTGGGCTACAGTTTGGGGATCTGTAGATATACCCGACGATAAGTAAGTCCCCTCCCTTTAATTTAATTTTACACCACTTGGACTCTTCAAAAAAATCCTCTCCCTGTACCCTTGCCTGGCTGGCTCTAAGGTCTTGCCTAGCATAGATAACCACACCCCTCTTGCAAGTTTCTTGAGAAAGGTTCGTAAATGAGTCATATCCAGCAATACTGAACTCGCATTCCTCTGGGTCGATTCTCCTGTTTTTGTACAACATTTCTACAACTACAATATTTGGTGTACCTTCAGTAGTGTTTCAAACACCTCTCTCTTTCAAGGAATGTATCAGTATTAGCGTACGTGACATTCAAACCAGAATTTGTTCTCGGTAACTCTGGTCCCCCTCCATTCTCAGAAGCTGCAGCATTTGCTAGGTACACTGTATTTTGCAGGGTGTGGTTAGAAATGCCATTGTTTACACGGCGCTTGCCTCCTCCCGGATGGGAGGTAGAGCGGGTGGAGGGTGTGCCGCTGCCCCTTGGCTCTGTGTCGGCACTCTTGCTTCCACTATCCTCCCCCTGGATATACTGTAACCCTTGTACACCCATCCCCATTCCTTCTTGACTCTTCCCTCCTCTGCTTCAAGCCCTGCAGGAGCTTCTTGTGCTGTTTCCTCTGCATTACCGTGTGATCTGGATGAATGAATATATTCCGAAATGTCTCGCTCCTTGCTAAGTTTTTTGCATGCCGGATAACTTCCCATTTCTTCTCACTGAGGGGGATGGCATATTCAGAACCTCTGTACAAATATTCTCAAACTGCATCTTATTGTGTTTTCCTACTCTCCGCTTCTTCCGACTGGCTCTTGGGGACTCCATAAAATATTACGTTGTTCCTGTGGGTATAGCGTGTGTGCGCGTGTGTTTGTATCATGTGTGTTTGGTGTGTTTGATGAGTAGAGGTTGGTGTCTGGGTTGTGTGTGTGATGAGTGTCGAGTGTATGTGTGGATATGTGTGATGTGTTGGTGTGTGTAGTACAGCATTAGGTGTACTGTACTTGATAGGTCAGATCACATCAAGACAGCGACCCATCTAGATACAAAACCAGAGACAGAGAAGAGACAGTACAGTACATTGTTAGTGAAGAAGAAATTGAAAGAGGATAGGAAGTTGGTAAGTGTGTTATGGTTGAGCAGATGTTTGGACCTAACTATCCTGACCCAAAGCAAACGTTCTACATTGGTGTATTACAGGTGCAGATGGCTGATAAGCAGTTCCACTTGGTGATGGTGGCAGACAGGATGGAGGAGTCACTGGTGCTACTCAGTCACTTACTATGCTGGGACCTTCAACACCTTTTAGTGCTGAAGTTAAATGGCTGCAGTGATTCGGTAACCACAACAAATTTGTCTCTGTACGGCACTGTGTAAAAAAAAAATCTTCATGTACAGTAGCTGAAACAACTATCTGTGCAGGTGGGGGTCGATATGCTCCGAAATTTTACGTGCGACTAGTGACAGCCCTCGTATACCAATATTTATCATCCATGGTCTCGTATTGTTTCCCACAAAGTATGCACAGATAGTTGTTTTGGCTACTGTACAAATATTTGACCATTTTTACCATTAAAATCTGCTAATCACAAATCAGTGTACAGTATGTCTATCTCACAATGACTTATGAAATGTATTTCCCAAAATTGCATTATTAACAATAAATGAAACCCACGTCCTGTTACGTGTTTTGCATGTTTTATGGGTACAGTCACTCACAAAAGTCCTGTAGCCTCCCATAAACTCTTGAGATTCAGACTCATGAACCCGGAGCAGTAGGCACTTGATGCATTATTCTGTTCATTAATGCTTCGAATTCATAAATCTGAATCTTGTGATTCGCGGTTCAGGGGGGGATAGTGAAATGACTTTAGAAGGTACTTGTGCTTCCTTTTGGCAGCTGAAATTGAACATCAGTGATGAATCACGGAGGAAACTGCAAGAAAAGCTCTCGCCAGACTACCTGCTATACCGGCACTTTGCCAAGAAACTAGATCAGTTTATTGAAGACTTTGGAAGGGAGCGGATGGCCCAGGAGGTAACCAGGCTGCGTCAGCTAACTCAGGAGCTGATTACTACCTGCCAGTTTGTAAAGAAACAGAAAGAGGCAAGTTATAATGCAGATTTATTGTAGTCATAACGCTCAAATATTTATAACTCCATCTGTACAGTAAATTCTCAATAGATAGATGATGCCAGTAACTGCAGACAGCCATGAAAAAATAGAGAACCTTCTACTGTACTTGGCTTATTAATGAAAGTGTAAAGATGATTTTAGGGGATATGTTTAATAAAGTTGAAGTGATATCCTTTCTCTGGCAGACTGAGTGTGTGAGAGATATTCTTGTACATTATACTAGTTAGCAGTAGCTGGATGGAATTTATTTACTCTGGTTACTGGACTTTATTTTTAATGGTATAAAAGGTCTTAATATTTGTAAATTAGTTTAATGTAAAATGTAGCATTACAATTTATTACTTTTTGTTCCACATCAGCCTAGTTTTAAGTGTTGTAGGAGCAAGAGAGGATGTTTGAATGTTATCTTGTCTCCCTTAGGTTGTTGTCTATGTTCCCATCTCCAGTGCCACGTGTCATTATTATGTTGAAGATGAGTTATTGTTTATTAAATACTTGAGGGAGCGGCAGTTTATGGAGGTCTACCACAGGTAAATTCCTGCTCTTTTACCTTATAAAATTATGCCTTGTGTGTATTTTTGTCTTACCATAGCACTGAGTGATGCCGTGATACATAGAGCTTAGGGATGTCTCAGGTGACTCCATTTACAAGACACAGTCTATGGGTATGACAACCCAGGTGGTGACCTAAAGTCTAAAATAGGTTTAAAATCCCAAAGTAGTTATTCCTTCTTGACCACAACCATACTGTAGTATCAGTCACCACCAAAGGCTGAAGGCACAGGAGATCCAGCCACTGCAGTCAGACCCACTGAGAATGCAGGGATCATTGTCATCATCATTATTTTATGGTAATTTTCCCAGCATGATGGGTCAACCACAGGTGCCTGATAGCAGCTTTCCATGCAGTACAATACAGTCTTTTGCAATTTTTCTTGTCAGGTTCCTAACTCTGCCATTACTTACCAAGGTAAAAATTCCCCGAGTTCACACCTCTAGGTGGCCCATAAGAGAAAAGGTGAAATTTATGAATGTTAATTAACACCAGTTATTTAAGAGACTTCTTAAATTGAATGTAGGTGAGTTAAGCTTCCATTGATACCTTAGAAGGGAAAATGGGTCTTGAATCATCTGAGGTGGAGTGGCAAGTAACCTCTAACACTAACCGGGTATATTGCCCAGGTTTTGTTAAATGGTTGGACGTCCTGGAATGTGATGACTCGGTTATAGGAGTGTCTATTGATGCCCTTTTACCATTATGAGGGGAAAAGTAGGAATAGTATTTAAGATTAATTTTGTGTCCTATGTTTAAAGCTTCCTACATATTTTATTGGCCTTCCACCTTGACATGAAAATATATCAACTCCCCCTTTGGTTGGTACAAATTTATTACCCATCCCTGGAACCATTGGAGCAGTTACTGGTCCATACTCTCAGACAAGCCTTAATTTTTTAGAGTGCACAGTAGGTGATGATAGCACTGTTAAGCTAGCTAGGTAGCAAGGAAATAAAGGAGAGTTCATAGTACATAAGGTTAAAGAGTTTCTTCTTCTACAGTGGCTACCATCAGTGAAAACGAGGAGTAAATGCAGGCAAGTTCAGAGTGTGTTCCATCTTTAGGTGCAACCAAGTTGTCAAGGCAAAGGAATGATTTGATGGGAAAACTTTGGAACACATGCCGAGTGATCTGGACTGAAGGATCAGAACCAGTGTATTGTGCCACTCAACACCCTGATAATTCAAGAGGCATGATCATTGTTTGAGGATGTGAAAACTGAACAAGAGTTTGCAGTTCAAAACTTTTGGTGCTGGAGTGGTTTCAGAAGTTCAAGGTGCAACACAGGCTGCATAATGTCATTGTGTGGGGAAGCTGCAAGTGTGGCTAGGAAATGAATCCCTTCTAGATTTGATGAAAATCAAGTAAGTTTCAGCTTAGTTTTTAAAATTAACCTGTCGAGTTATTATTCTCCATAATTAAGTGTAGATGTTTATGTGTTAGGATGACATTTGTGCTTTGAAGTTTTCTTAATTAATGCAGGGTGGCTGGAGATGAGAATATCATCTTTCTGTTGTTCATACTTACTTCTTTAAGTATATCCTTCTATGGTTCAGTAATCCCCTTCCATACTTTAAAGTTCTATATACTATAATACTTTACTATCTTCACACGAGTCAGCATCAGACCATCCTGCATAAAGTAAGAAAAAGTATTGGGTTTATTTGGAAATGAAATACCATTTACTTAAAAGATTTATTTATAAAACCTTGATCAAATCATTGAGACTTTAGAATAATAAAGGAAAATGTAATCTAACTTCTTGGATAAATCAGGAATTAGAATTTGTTGCCAACTGATAGATTTCTACCAAATTAACCAAATACTGTACCCAATTTTTCTACATCCGAGGAAAACAAATATTATGGGGAATCTGATCAGGTCGTGTGATTTACCTGTCAGCACTCTGCAGCATACTGTACTGTGATCAAGGTAAAGCAGTTTTGGACCATTTCATTTATACAGTTAGCAAGACACTGCTCTTATTTTCTGCACTATTATGTTGATGTGTATACTGTATGTCATAATCATGTATTTTGTGTGTCTGAACTAAGCAAATTAATTGGTATTAAAAAAGGAGCATTATTTTTATAGGATAGTATCCTGTACATTGGTAGTGTATCATTTCATGGTTCATATTTCTCTTGGTCCAAAAATTCTGTCAAGCTGTGGTAAACATTAAAGTGCATTAGATTTATGTTTTCTGGAAGTATCAAAAGTGATAATGATGAAAACACGTTAGATAATTTAAAGATTTTTTTCCAGGTTTATTGTGCTTTTACTTAGATGTCCTTATTGGGTACAACATTGCCAAAGGAGAACCTTTTTTTTTCCTTCTTTTAAGACAAATGCCATTTGCCTCTGCTATCCTTTTTAACGAGTAGCACAAACATGTTTGAAGCTCGTATTTTCAATCTTAAGTCTTGTAGAAGAAACAATGTGTACAGTCCATTGTTTACCAGAGTACATTTGTTGGTATAATATAAATCTCTGGTCTTCCTTCTAACACTAGTTGACCTACATTTTCAGTCTGAATTTCACTTTACAGCACAAGGTCTCTTAAAGGAATGAACTGGGTATACTGTAACTGATGAAAGTCATTGTTGCAATGAATTAATACCAGTTGGAAAGGTATTCTGTCAGTTAATTTAATATTTGGAAGCAGATTTAATGATACAGGTACTGCATATTAAAGTTTAGAGTTCCTTGCATGAAAACAGAAAGGACCAAAATACATAAACACCCATACTGTATAGGTTTCTTACTTTGACTATAAGATAGTACTGTTTTACCTCAGAAGAAAAAGGTAGTAATTTTGTTTTGTGGAGTTAATGTAAAATGCAAGCTGTAATACAAGTCAAACAATACAATATGTTTAAGCAAATTTTACATCATTTAAATCTCCATAATAATGGGACTGGATCCCCCACACACCTTTCAATAGCCTGTCCACATAAATTCTCATTTGGGGTTTTCATCCTAAGTTCTGTACTGTAGTACTAACAATAATAGCAGGCAATGAAAGACTAATAAACTTTTTAACATAAGTAAACAATAACTTATCTTGGTTTTGGAAGAAAGGTAATCCTCAAAATGAGGTTTTATCACATGAACTATTCTACATTAGTAATTTATATTAATGCACTGTTTAAGTCACTTTATAGTTGGGGTAAAAAAAGGAATGTCCATGGTAATGAAGGTCTACAATGTTTGGGCCTAAACCAACACTACACACTTTATAACTACAGTATTTCATACCAGTATAACTCGTGTGCAAAAAAGGCACAATATTACTTACAATCTAAAAAATTAATTTTGACCAATTTCCACATACCTGAAAGGAATATGAGACAGAGCAAGGAATGTACAGTTGCAATGTGGTCCTTAATTACTGTATATATATATATATGCTTTTGTTCAGATACATCCAGATCTGAGGACTTAAAACTAGTCTAACAAATATTGACATTTTATACATTACAAAAATAGAAAAGTTTTCTCTTATAAAAAGATGAATCATTCATAAATTTAAACAAATTTGCAATTACTGTATACAATAAAATAAAACATTTCATTAAAGCCTAACTCATTCAGTAAAGCATCATGGGAAGCTATTGTGATTCTTATACTACATTAGTCAAAACTACACACGTTTTTTCCTATTCAATAAATCACAAAGTAACACAGACAGAGAAAGCATCTTAAAGGCACAACTCCAGCATTTAACATGCATTAAAACTGAACATGAATTTAGAAGCAAAACACTTTTTGATGCTTCCATCTTTTGGAATAGCTTAAATAAAATACATACCACTGTTGAAAAAATGCACATTAAGACATAGCCTGTATTCTCATATTTTAGTTCACCATGCACTAGGTTTATTGTTGCATGGTCCCAAAACCTACAACAGTATTCATAATTGAATATTATGTGTATGTACTTTACATGTTAATAATACTATGTTAAACTAGTCAAATACTAATCGTTCATACTCCTACTATACATTACACTTTAGGAGTAAACAATTACATATTCTTTCAAAACTTCCAATAATCTAAACATCATTTACTATAGTGTGCATAAAACTTATGTATTCCACAACTGTACTGTAAATGAAAACTTCTTCCATCTCATCAATAAAATACTTGTACATGGCATCATTCATCCCATCGAACTTCAGCAAGCTTTTGCATTTACCACCATAACAAAACACATCAATAATATTCTAAACTATACAATTTCACATTCCTGAATAACTCTTACTTCTCATATTAAATTAATCTTAAACTGCATTCCAACTCTAAGCATGGTCCAAGACAGCAACACACTCCTTGAGGCCTAATATTTCAAGGCACTCTCGCAGTTTTTCCAGGGTAACATTCTGTGGAAGAAAACTCGAGTAAATGTTTATTCAAAAAAATTATGATGATAAAAAGAGAAATCAAATGTAGTTGTAAAATAATTGCTGAAAAGAAAAGATTGAAATGTAATATCCTATTTTATAGGTGAGAGGAAGGTACAAGTGACCTGCAAGACTGTAGCACAAAACCACCCTGTAGCAGAGCATGCCTTATCCAGGGGAGCAAAAGTGTTCTAATGGCAGATGCTTCATACTGTTCAACCAAGGTATGAAAAGCAAAGTTCCAATATTAGTCCAGTATTGATTTAAAAGTCTGAGTCAACAGGTGATAATTTGTTGAAACCTTGTATTACACTCGATGTAACTGTTTCAACAATATTGTGAATGTCCAGGTATTTACCTTTACAAACTTTTTGATAATACAACATAATAGTGTAGCTTACATATTCATTGATAAATTTATTTACAGTAGTACAGTATTGTAAACTTAAAGAAATCAGATATCCTATATTATTATACATATCTTAATTTGACATGTACAGTCCATGCCACTTATAAACCACACAGACTGGCAGCCTTGAAATTCCTAACTAACAACTCCACTGGGTCCATCCCTTCCCCATCTCCCGAAACATATAAACCAGGCAAAATACTTGTTCTTTTGACATTGAGGATAAGAAGCTGCCAAGTTTATTCCAAGTATCATAAAATTCAGTACAGTTGGTATAAGCAATGTGTTAGGTTAGCTGGCTGTTCTTGTTTTATGGCCCATGGAAGTTTCTCCCATATACTGTACATGAAGATTGTTAAAAGATTTCAGTGATATCAGCAGTCGGATGCAGTAATTCAGGTACTGTGCTGTATATAGATACAGTTGTTGCAAATGTCATTTCATGGAAGTTGATATTCATATTTGAGACATAACACAATACAGAACAATAGGGTCAGGACATATCGCAAGATAGGGTCCAAGGATGTTCGCTATACATGTATTCTAAATCGCGATATATAATTACATGTAATCAATGGAGAAAATAGGGTTAGGTTCTGAAGGCCAATAAAAGTGACTTAACTTGACATAAAATGGCACAGTCTAAAGTTAGCAGAATATTAATTGCATTGCTGGAATCCTTGCAAGACAGCGAATAATTTGACTATATACATCATATATTTTGTACACGAGATATAAATATTAGACCTTTGTACTAATGTTTACCAATTACATTAGTACTAAAATTTTTGTCTTGTGAACTATAGCATGTTTATATTCAAATTAATCACTATCTTACAAGAATTCCAGCAATGTTAATTATATTCTCTTAAGTTTATAAGTGAAAAACATAAACTCCCCCTATATGACATAAATAAATACCACTAGGTAACCTTGGCTGGTGGGTGGGCCAGCTGTCATAATAAATCAACTCCCCTCCCACTTCCAGTAAGAGTGACTGGTTTCTAGGCTTAAGGTTTTTAGGTTTAAAGTTTTTATCTTATAAAATGTCAGACTAAAGTTTGCAGAATATAAATAGCATTGCTGGAATCTTTGCAAGACAGCAAGTAATTTGAATATAGAGATAATATATTTTGCACAAGAGAAAAAAAAGTTAAACTCGTAATTTTGGAGCTATTCAGGGGATTTTTTAGAAGTGTTAATCACTTTATACAGTTTTTGGTTTTATGCAAGGTCCCAGGAACCCACGTAAGTTGGCGAGTCTACTGTAAATAAATTTATCGCTATATATTGGAAAGTTTCGATAATTTTGGTAGTAGTGATAAGTTTGAAATATTTCCTGCCCGATTTTCTCGGGGGAAAAAAAAAACTCTACCTGTATATAGGAAAATGTTGATAATTTTGGTAGCCGCGATATAAAAAACAATCTTTAAGTCGCTATTTATCCTTTCCCTCCTGTTTTTCAAATGGAATGTTCTATAAAATTACCCCCCAAAAATCTATCAGAGTCCATTTTAATTACAATACTTACAAGTTTGATGTCCAAGTCCCCTCTGGGCAAAACAAATATTATTTGATAACCCGATAACACCAAGCAGCTGGAGTATTTCTCTTATAAGAAAATTTTATCAGGAATATGAAAACCTGGTAAACCTAAAGTATATAGACACATTACACTTTCATAAAAATGCTGAGAAATGAAATAGTCATTAAAAAGAGCAGATCACTTTAGCCTGTTACACGTCAATGTAATATATAAAATACTCTATATTAATCCTCAAGAAACACCCTCTAATGTGACCACTAGCACTCTATGTATAAACTTTGGTAATAATCATCTACCAAGTGGCTAACAATTCAATGTTGTGTGACAACAGAGAAGTTGTGCTGAACATTTATGATGTGGAGTCTGTGGACAAATATATTTTTCAATTCTTGTTTCTGAGTAAACTGTAAATTTCACTCTCAAGATCACCGACATCATGATAGATGCAGATATTTGGGCAAGGAGAAATTAGTTTGAAATGGCCATTGGAAGAACTATTACATTATGAAAAGATGAGGGACAACTTAATTTTATTCACAGAAATAAATTATTAATTAAAGAAGTATAGTAATAATAAAGATTTACAGCAAAACTACTGGAACAGTTTTGTAGGCAGAAGTGCATGCAATCTACAGTACTAAAGGTCCCTCATTTTCATACCTATCATGAGTATACTTCACAATTCCTGGCCACGCATTTACAGCGATGATTATAATCGGGCTCCCGCGGGCAGGTATTGCCGACGCTAACCTTCATGTTATCAGGATGTAGAAGAAGTTCAGCAGGTGAAGATTCCTTGGCCCAGCAGGGAACCATGTAGTCTAAATCCAAGAGCTGAGCTAGGTGGCGCCACGTGTCTCCACTGAGATGGCTGGCCAGACGACCACGTACGCGCTCACTGAGCTCACTCACACTAATCACCACCAAGCATGCACAAGGCAGACAGAGTAAGGATATTAGCCGAGAAAATCATTTTAAAGTAAAAAAAAAATTGTGATATAGCATGCACTTCCTTTATATATTGATGAAAGGAAACCAATTGTTTTATGAGATTAGAACTACCTGTACTTGTACTAATAATATATATATATTAATCATTTAAACATTTATATTAATTAGAAACAAAGTGATCTTAATCAGAGTTGGTTTTAAAAATCAATTTAAATATTAGGGCAACACCAGCTTCCCTCGTGCCATTTTGTAGGTACAGTAATCCCCTGTTAATGTGCAATTCTTTATTACTTAATAATGAACAAGCACTTGTATACATCCCATCTTTCCATTTCCAATAATATGGTATTATGGGAATTATGCCTGTAACTCGTGGGGATACCTATGGATGGTCACAGTGATACTGAGTGCACTGCATAAGCCACACGCTTCAAGGAGAATTGCGTGTTTACTACTACACTCTGCCATTAAGCAAAAACATGTCACATAAGAGTGAGTATTAATATAGTATAACTATCAAGACAATATAGTTGCTTGAAAAGATATGTACTGTATGTGTTAGTTATAAAATAAGTGTCAGCATCCCCTACCCCCAATGACCTCACCAATCAATCATTCATGTTCAAAGATTGTAGTTCTTCACTACTAGGCGGCACCTTTAATATTTTATTTTCCTTGAGCCAAACGATTCTAGTTAGTGTAGGGAGACCCTAAGAGGTTTTCACTTCTCCCATAAATATACAAGACTCAAGATGTGTGCAAAATACTGACACTTTAGTCAACACATTAAATTTGGTGATTTAATAGCAAAAAAAAGGTAATACCCTGTAGTATGTTTTTGTTGTGTTTGTCATGATATTTGTTTGACATTTTCAGCTGTCAAAAGCAGGAAATAAAATTTAAATAAAGACTAATCTTCTCTTTGGTGTGAAATAAAAAAAAAAATCAAATGCAAGAGAAATTACAAGATAAACTGACAAATTCTCCTGTTGGACAACCAGAGAATATGTCTTCAAGAGACACCATTTGCATGGCTTTAAATTAAAAAATGAGAATTTAAAGTTACGTCTGTGGTAGAATTGTACAAATAATAAAAAGGTCCAAGCCAATGTAAATTCAAATTTATTTTGCAGGTACAAAAAGATAACATCTCTTCATTCCTGCCATGCAACTCCTCAGTAGCTGTGGGCTAATCTCTCCAAACTACATACTGTATGTACTTATAGTTTGCATATAGTAAGATGATACTCTTACCATATGCAAGTTTTAGTTTTATTATATTGTATACTGTATATATATTGGCTTGTTTTCTATCATATGTGAATATTTCCAACAATTAAATTATTATTTTTTACAAGTCATATTTTTTGAGGTAGGGAGGATCTTCAAGAACTTAGCTCCTTTTTGTCATACAAAGTTAGTTTTGATAAAGTTCCATAAACCTAGAGGTCCTTTCATATCAAACATCAGCAAGGGATTACTGTATATCAATATAATAGTGACTTGTATTATATCTGAAGCTCACCATTTCTCTTCCTCATAAGTGGAGTCTGGACCTTGGATATCTGTAACAGAGATATCAATACCGGAGTCAAGGGCAGCAGGAGCTTCTTTCTTCTCAACCAACACTTGAGCTTCAGCACCTGCGTTTTCCTCTAGGATCTCTTCCCCGCGAAGAATAGCCAAGATCTGTTGACAATTTCTCATTAGAAAAGTGGAGTACGTACACACACACACACACACACAGTTACTTGATCTATCAACTTCAGCAACCTAATCATACTGTCATCTCATCATGGGTATATAGTTACTAAACATGTAACAAAAAACAAGTTCGAGGAAAATCAAATACATTAATCTCCTTGTTAGGCAAAATCTTTGGTCCCTGGTTTTCTCCACTAGCTGGAAATCCATTCTGGTCCCGGGAATTAGTTTCATAGGATAAAATCAGGCACATTTTCTGGAAAACACAAACAAGAGAATCTACCCTTTCATGGCATGAGAACAAATTTTCCAGGAATTCCATGAGATTACATCATACTCTGCTGCATCCCCATGGGGCTGGAGACATAGCTGGGCTAGCTGCTTTGGTAGCTTAGGCCTCAGGCTTGTGCACCTTATTCTGCTGCTGTTCTACAGTACAGGGTAGTCCCTTACTCTGCTGTCTTTGCATATAATTTGTATTGTGCAGTACTGTACTAAATATTATTGTACAAGGACCACATTTGGCAAAGAATAGTGTTAAAACAGAATTAAGACAAAGTGATTACATGTACTGTACATAGCAGAGTGGACAATGTATACCTAATGTAGGCTAGTGTGTAGAGGTGTATGTATAGTATATGAGTACTGGGTTTTTATAATAATCCCTTATCATGGAGGAAGTTAATAACACCTATGTGTACTATTCCAGTTGATACTAAATGTTATATAATAATTCCTTGAGATAAATGTACAGTAGCTAAAACAACTAGCTGTGGGGGTCGAGGTGCTCCTAAATTTTACATACGACTTGACACCCCTCGTGTCCCTTTTCTCGTGTTTCCCACAAAGTATGCACATAATTGTTTTAGCTACTGTTCAGTATATATAAGGTGCCTATAAGAAAGCTCAGGCTCTCAATTGATTGCCATTTCAATATTGTTATTATTCACTCGGTATCTACAGTTTTGTGGCTAAATAAAGTGTTTTAATATCACTGTTGTAAATGATACCACTGTATAGTACAGGACAAATGCATGCCACCCTATTTTATAGAAATGGAAATTTCATCATAGAAAATGGAAAATATATATATCAGAAAATGGGAAATTTCTATCATAGAAAATGGGAAATTTCTATCATAAAAAATGGGAAATTTCTAATCATAGAAAATGGGAAATTTTCAATCATAGAAAATGAGAAATTTCAATCATAGAAAATGGGAAATTTCAATCATAGAAAATGGGAAATTTCTAATCATAGAAAATGGGAAATTTTCAATCATAGAAAATGGGAAATTTCTATCATAGAAAATGGGAAATTTTCAATCATAGAAAATGGGAAATTTTCAATCATAGAAAATGGGAAATTTTCAATCATAGAAAATGGGAAATTTCTATCATAGAAAATGGGAAATTTCTATCAGAAAATGGGAAATTTCTAATCATAGAAAATGGGAAATTTCTATCATAGAAAATGGGAAATTTCAATCATAGAAAATGGGAAATTTCAATCATAGAAAATGGGAAATTTCAATCATAGAAAATGGGAAATTTCAATCATAGAAAATGGGAAATTTCTAATCATAGAAAATGGGAAATTTCAATCATAGAAAATGGGAAATTTCTAATCATAGAAAACGGGAAATTTTCTATCATAGAAAATGGGAAATTTTCAATCATAGAAAATGGGAAATTTCAATCATAGAAAATGGGAAATTTTCAATCATAGAAAATGGGAAATTTCTAATCATAGAAAATGGGAAATTTTCTATCATAGAAAATGGGAAATTTCAATCATAGAAAATGGGAAATTTCTATCATAGAAAATTTCGATTTTAGAAAATATGAAATTTCAATCATATATATATATATGTGTATATATATACACACACACACGCACACACACACACACACACACACACACACACACACACACACACATATATATATATATATATATATATATATGTATATATATATATATTCTACTGTATAGTCAACAAATTTACCTTTTCATCATCTCCAGCATAGTCAATCGGTGTGTATCCCTCCGACTCTTCTTCTGATTCTTCTTCTTCATCATCTTCCTCTTTTCTGCCTGTTTCTGTCTCTTCCTCCTCCTCTTCTGATTCTGATGATTTTTTCCTTCGGCTCAATACATTTTTGGCCTGTGGATCAGCCTGGAAACGGGTTGAAGAAAATTTTCTTTTTTTAATAACTTGAGATTAATAATTTGTCCTTACACTGTATTCTTTAAATTTGCCTCTCTACTCTTTCATAACCCTTGGAGCACCTTGAAGTAATGCCAATACTTTAATTATTTGAAATCAGGGCTACTTATATGGCCAGCTAAATGTAACAACCACTTCCCCATCATATCTATTACAAAAGACAAAGAGTAGACAACATACTGAGTAATAACATTTTGTTATATCCAAGTTCTGTAAGTTAAATACACATTAATTGCTAAATAATCATTACACTCAAATGATGTTAACACAAACTAACTTACATGGGCCCTGAGGAGGATTCTGCACATCACCTGGTCTCTCGCTTGAGCTGCTAAGTGCAGAGCGGTATTGCCATCAAACATACCTGCTTCAACCGTCACACTCGTCTGAAACCAGAGTAGAGTACTGTATAAATCGCATGGATATGCAGGAATTTACCATAAAGTATAATAATAATGGTTGCTCCTCGTGCGCAAGGATGGCAGGCAACAACCACACCCTACGTTAACGGACTATATGCCTCAGTGTCGAGGAATTACCCAAGAAGACTGGGCAACTTGATAACAGCACTGGCTGACCATAAACAAACTAACTGCAACAAATACAAACAAATCACAAATCCATCATAACACAGTTTTACATGAAGTTTATAGCCATCATCTTTATCCACAACATCAATGAATGATTTTTCTAGGCACTGCACAGGAAACCTTCTCATTAAACTAATTCTTTCGGTCCTTTTAGTTACCCTAAAGTAACGACAAACTGGATACCAAACATATAGTACTTTAAGTTTTTGTGGCATTACTCCTAAAGACAGGCTGTAATGTTATCTCTACAAAGTAATAATGTGCTGATGAAGGATACAATGTTTCTACATTTTCCGTGATGTCAAACTTACTGTACCGACAAATTACTGAAAATGGCAATTGTATATAAAGAAAACCAGACACTACTCACATTGCTCAAGAGAAAGGAAGCAATTTCGTGGCGGTGGAACATTGCTGCCAGGTGTAGAGGTTTAGCACCTCTCTTCCTCTCACAGTGGTGTACCTGAGCCCCTGCATTTATTAGCAACCGGACACACTCCAGGTTCCCGCCAATAACAGCAAGGTGTAGTGGAGTTGCACCTGTTACCAATGTTATAAGTTAATGGTGCTATTATACTATGTGGTCTACTGAGCTGCAGTTGGTCTACTGGGATATTTACACTAGCATTCATTAACCTAACATAACCCAATACAAAAACACCAAAATATCACCTTATTACTCTACATGGTGACATTATTAGATGAGTGATGTCAGGACAGCTGATCTACCCTAACCTAAACTAACCAAATAAACAACATGATATGGAACTCTGGTCATTCTAGGTATGGGTATTACAATGGCTTAGCAATATCAACCACCTGCCAAACAACCATGATTACAATATGGTTTATCTAGTTTTGCAATACTAAAAACTTGTGAAATTAAACATATTGATGAACTGTTCAGCAAAATGAGAAAACCAAAAGACTACAGTACTAACCATGGTAGTTATAAGCATTAATAGCCTGAGTCAGCGATGAACGAGAACCATTGATCGGTCTTGTCAAAAGCGCTTCAAGGCAACGGTGGTCGTGTAGCTCCGCAGCACAATGGATGGGATTATTCCCTTGGGCATCAGCAATGCTCACATCACAACCCAAAACAGCTACTAGCCTTTTCACCATTGTCACCTCATTGCCACGGACAGCTTGCAGCAAGGCAGTCTGGAATTTAGTCATTTACTTACAATAAAGGATATGCTTGTGCTTTCTTTCTTCTCCCTGTAACAATTTGTGATTAACGCTAGGTGGGTGGAACCTAGAACATATAAGCAAACATTTCTCCCTTTTTGCTGTCATTCATTCACTTTGGTATTCCAGTAACATAACAAAGCCTCAAATATGGTTTACCTGTCACTTCACAAAACCAGCATCCACTCCTCCCACACACACATTGAAACAGTCCACAAATCCTATTACTATAAACTAACATTACATTAAACAATACTTACATAACATATTATCGTTGCTTGATAAAAATACCATTAACAAAATGCAAACGTGAAGATTATCTCAATTTCTGATAAAACTTGTGTTTTAACTAGCACACATTTCCAGTGTTTATCCAGCTATGTCGGTACCTTATTCTAAATGGGGTGACACTGTCATCTAAAAATTATGCCTTACGTAAGTTCACTCACTTCATTTGCAAAGTTTTGAGCATTTAACAGGTCACGTGGGTTAATCTTCTCACTGGCCTTCAGGATCTTGTTAAAGGCTTCCATATTCTTATTGCTGACTGCAGTATGTAGAGCACTGGTGTAAAAAAAAAATAATTTTATAATCTTCGTATTGCATGTGATACAGTACTTCCCTGAGCTACCTAAAAATGTGAAATAAAAAAAAAAAGAATGCTACTTAAGGTAAAACAATCTGCAGCAGGGTAGAATATATTTTCCACCAGATAAAAGAAGTATAGTACAGTAGGCTCTCACCAATAACGTTTAATGGGTGCCTGAAAAACACCGTTATTAGCGAAAACGTTATTTGTGTGACATTAAAATACATGTAAAAAAGGTTTATTGGTGCCGCCGCCACAAGAATTTCACCCATTTTTTCCCCTTGAAGCCCTCCTAACACTTAGCTGAAATAAAAAGAATTGTTATTCAATCATCAAAATAAAAAGTTTGTGTAATATAACACTTAGCTTGGGGGAGTTTTTGAGGTGCTTGGTGTGATGATTGTTCCGTATCTGAGGGCCGCTAACACTTGCACTGTCTTTCATTCTACAAGCTAACCATTTCACAAGAAAATGCTCTGTTATCACTAACAACCTGTTTCTATTGCTTTTATCATTCATAGCTCGCCTCGCATTTCCATCACTACCGAAATATTTTTAGCCAGCGCAATACTCTTCTTGGTCTCCTCTAAGTTCCTCTTAATATTTTGCACTGTAGACTCAGGACAGTTAAATTTCCTCACTTTAAAAGTTCCCAGTCATTCAGGTGGCAAATCACTCCCTCCACCACCTCCCCTAGCCCCCACAGGCAAAAATGCGGAAGCCATTATTATCACCGACCCTAACAACCACTGGTTATAGTGGAGAAAATCTCACACGTGGGCGCAGCGCTGTATTCCACTGAGCGTGAGTGAGAGTGAGGCGGAGTGGACAACTACGTCATCAACATGGCGGCAAACAAACGCTATCATTGATGCGCTCGGACGCTTCCCGCAAAATTTCCGTTATTCAAGAGAATCCAGACGTTATTATCGAATATGGGTATCTATTGTAACTTACCGTTATTGTGGAAGTCGTTATTGGCGAGAGCCTACTGTAGTAGTATATCCAATGAGCTATTTGACACCTCTCTAGCAAAGTCAATAATCTCTCAATACTGTACTGTAAGCCGGAGAAAATACTTACGTGTCGCCTTGATTGTTCTGCACAGCCAGAAGATACCGGTGAGTGGCCAGGAGCAATGAAATGTCCCCAGTAGCGGCGTATGCTTGTAAACACTCTGCAGCACTGACGGCTACCCTAAAGGCCACATCTACATTTGGTGCATTTCGCTGGCCAGAACCTCCAGCTTGTGTGGGAGGGTTCCTCCTATTACGTTCTATGGTGTCCTCAACACGTACTTCAGACATCATCTTACTGAGGTCAGCTATGTCCTGGCCTGTGTTGATTGGCTGGTCACGCTGCTTCTTCTTGGAATCTGATGCCGAGACAAATAAAATGGAAGATATAAAAATTAATAAATTGGCCTTCATTTATCTAACACCTAATTATACAGCACACTCCCAACCTAATTATATAGTACAGTTGACTTCCCCGCTTTAGCTTTTACACTTGTGAAAACTCTAGGGCATAATAGTGAAAAAAACAAGCCGAGACAGTGTGAACAAAAAAGGGTGTACAACAATGTGCAACTACAAGCAATTGTATTGTTTCCTCTATCATATCAACTTCCAGTGACTCTACTTCAGACACCTTCAGCGTTAGTCAAGAGGATGGCTCGGTGAACAGATCAAATGACACTCCTCTCATCTCTATTAAAACTGCCAGTCATTTTTACTCCTACAGGTGTCAAGAACCCAAAGATAGATGAGAATACAATAGAACAGACCTGTGCTATGATGCTATTAAGAGTAATTGTTTTTTTTATTTACTTACCCTTCTTGCCTCCGTAGTCAAGCTTGATGTCCGTGTTACCCATGAAACCTGTACCAAAGTCAAGCTGTCCTCCTGCGATGTCAAGCATGTCCATCAGGGTTGCGTCTTGACCAATAGTACCCACACTAAAGCAGCTTGGCAATTCAAAGTCCGGAGCCTGAAAGAGTTATTATTCATTACTAACACTCTACAGAATCGCACTGGTTGGGTTTCTTTTGGCATCGAGTGTGTCAAATTGTAAATGTCTGCCTCTTCTTAAGATACCCTGCCAACATAATGAGTGATGGTCGAGGGTTGGATATAAAATCAATATATCAGAAACACTCCCTATAAAATTGCATATACTGTACATTTAAATTTGCATTAATTATACCATACATCTACAATAAGTACCTTACCTCTTCATATAACACTTTACATTTAAGGGCATTTAAACAAGTTGCTTACAAATGTTTACAAAGAACATTATTATATACTATATCACAGTAATACATTCAGTAAAATATGTATCATGGTACTAACTGGCATATTTTGTTGAGGCTGTAGAGACACCCCCTGTTGTATGCTCTCCCACGTCTCCCCACTACTCTGTATCTGCAAATGAACAAAACATTAAACAAACTTGTCTTAATAAAAAAATTATCCAGATAAAAGACAAGTCGACAATCATTAAAGATATTTTAGCCCAAACCAATTTCAAAAGGTGTGAGATGAAAAAATGTACGTACACACCTCTTAAGAAATGTTATGACTTCTTCACTGATTTCCTTTTCTGTCTATTTTTTTTTATGTCCACCTCAATACATATCAACACTCCCATCTCTTGAGTATAAAAAAAAAAACAATTTTAATAATCAGATTTTTAGTCAGGCTACCTATAAAATAATCAAACATTTATTATCAACATACTACTTGCTGTGATCCCATTGTTGGTTGTTTATGAAGCTGCTGTGTTTGCTGATGTTGCTGTTGTAATTGTAATTGTTGTAGTTGCTGCTGCTGTTGTTGTTGCTGCTGCTGTTGTTGCTGCTGCTGTTGTTGCTGAAGTTGTTGCTGTATATACTGCTGGGACACCATCTGTGTAGTACTCTCTTGATAGGAGGGAGAAGGTACCATCATCACTGGTGAAGGAACTTGGGTATATTGTGGTGACTGAACCTGGCTGAACTGTGGAGTCATGCCTCCTCCACTTGGTCCTTGATATGGGGGAGACGCTCCAGACAGTTCACCTGGAGACGTCTGGCTATACTGCGGGGAACTTGGTGATAACTGCTGGCCGGGTGATGGTACCTGTAAAAGACACAGTGACTTAACGATGCTGCTCTACGAGAAAGTTTATAACCAATACAAACTGACAAGCAATACCGTGTTCCCCATATGACCCTAATGAGAGGAAAATAATTATGTTTTCTAAAAATATAGCAAAGGCCAAAATCAACCAAGAGGGTATAGTATAAGAAAGTATTTTACAATAAATTGATTCCAGGAGCTACCATTATCAGTGTAACAGAATGACAACCAGAGACCTTAATGTTTCACAGCAGAATGAACCAAGTAAAGAACAAGAATGGTGCTTCATAACATAATACTGTACACACATACATTTAGTCTCAACAAACACTAATACGTATCCCCATAAATTTGACTTTCGACCTTGACCTTTGACGCAGACCTGAATTAGAGTACAGTATTGTAAGCTTTGTCTTGTGTAGTTGGATTCTCATTCATTAACACATACACAAGTACTTAAATACAGGAATTACCTAAAACACTAAGAATGGTTTTCCAGACTGTAGGACACAATTTAGAAATAAAGAATTGTAAAGCAAGATAATAATAAGAACCTGACGACCTTATTTTCCAATGAATCGACTCGACTCTCAATGTACTTCATGACTTAACTGTTTACAGACATCCAAAGTGAAAGACGTGAGAGGAACCATACCTAATAATTTAAAACACACTCTTTTAAATCCTTTACATCAAAGAGGACAGTTTCACAGGAAGAAAAAGTAGAAGGTTTAAAAGAAAAGAAACAATGCTGCAAAAACTGAAGAATGAAAGAAAAATCAAGAATAAAGCAGTATTTTTTATCATCAATTCGGTGAAAAGTTCAGCTAAGGAATTTAAAAGATAGAGATAGACAAACAGAAAGACAGAGATAGAGAGACAAAGAGAGAAAGAAAGAATCAAAGGGATATATTTTGTTACCTGCAGCACACCATTACAAATAGTGACATATTCTGTGGTGGGAGTCCCTGTTGACCCTGGATGGATGGGGGAATACAGCCCCTGGTTACTAGAATCCCCAGGATTTCCAGGAGACGGCACCTACAAGGAAGACAAGAAAAATTATTCAAGAGGAAAATCAAACATCTAAAATTTATACAATATTACCTTCAATAAAGAGAAAATTTTGGCCGTCTTTAAACCAAACCAAATTACCATAACAGCCGAACATGGTTACATCCCTAGCTATATACAGTACTGTATCCCTAAAGCACATATAGGTACAGTACTGTGAGAAAAAATAAATATAGTGAAAAATAAATAAAATATTGGGAGATTCATATTTTTCATATCTACCAGAAGCCCAACGAGCATCATAAGAAACATTTATCGCTTCGAGGTCCATTGAGCTGTTTAAAATACTTGTTCCCTCTTTTACCAACTTCCAAAATTACCTATATTGTACTTGTCAACGGGGTTGCCAGATGGCCGTTTCCACGGCCAAATCTCTCTACTTTGGCTGTGAAAAATTTTGCTTGGCCGTGGAAAAATGGATGGTCACGGCCAAACTATTTGGCCGAATTTTGTAAAACACGTATGAATTCCTCATCTAGTGGATTTTGAAGACAAGTCTAGCAGATTTTCAAATTTCACAGTAACACTGGCTCAGTGACCTCACCCTGTCACATGATTATGTGACCTACTAAGCTGACTGACCTTAGTTGTTAGTTTATATTTGAGTTGTTCAGGCTGAATGTGTCCAGTTATACAGGTTAAGCTTCAGAGCTTACAAAGCCATCCGAGTTACTTTCTGAAATTCCGAGTGCTAATTTTCAAAATGACACCAGTAAATGGAAAGGGTCCTACGACAGTGGTAGAAAATATAACAAATCACGGAAAGAAAAGTAGGTCTGGGTTAGTAGAGCCATTGATGGAAGTGAAAATGCTTATTGCAAAGTTTGTAGAACACAGATAGCTCCCAAAGCATTTCATTTGGCAGATCACGAAAAAATTGAAAGGGCACTCAAGCAGAGTAGCTGCGTCGTCCATGTGTAGGGTGCTGCCTGTGATGATCGCTTCAAGGAAACGGGACAGTAAAAATAAAAAACCTGTCGAGTTATAGTTCGCGGTGGCTATATCTTGTCACTGGGAAAATGATGAAAAAGAACAGTAAAGGAAGTGAACTAGAGAATCTGCAGCTCCATCGTACACAGTGCAGTAAGTTGCTCTCCAAAATAATCGCTCCAGCATTGTTTGAGGAATTAAAAGAAGATGCAAAGGGCAAGAAGTACTCCATGCTTGTTGACAAAGCAACAGATGTGGCCACAGACAAGCATATTTGTGTTATTGTGAGGTATTATAGCGATTCAAGATCGAGAATTGTCACGGAATTTGGTGGCCATGTGCCCATTGTTGGGGCTACAGGTCATGAAATGTTCTTGACAATGAGCAATACCCTGGGGAAGATGGGATTAAAGTGGTCTGACTGTGTTGGGTTTGGCAGTGATGGTGCATCTTCGAAGATTGGTGAACATAACTCAGTGTGGTCGAGAGTGAGAGAACAGTCACCAAACTGCCAGCTCAACAGATGTGTCTGCCACTCACTTGCACTGTGCATTGAAAAGGCTTTTGACAAGCTGCCATCTAATCTTGGACACCTCTTGCAAGAAGTTCCTAAGTGGTTCAGTAAGAGCGTCATCCGTAGAGATGCATTTAAGGAACTATTTAGGGTAATGGATGCGAAGGAAGAACAAAGGGGCACTCCTCTTCCCTTTCAGAAACTCTCATGTACACGATGGCTAGTTCGAGGAAAAGTCATCTACAATATCCTCTTAAACTGGGAGGAACTGAAAGCCTACTTTGCTGTTGCAGTTCCAAGGGCAGATGTTTCCTGTCTCTACAAAGCAAGAGAAATTCTGGGTATGCTGGAGGATACAGTCAATTTGTTGTACTTTCACTTTGTGTCACCAATCGTTACAGAATTCGAAAGAAATAATTCTGTTTTTCAAACAACAGATGCTGATCCTGAAGAACTGGTAAGTGAGTTGGTCCTGCACCACAAGAGTTTGCAAGATAGAATCCTTGACAGGAATGGAAAACCACTGCCACTAAACATGGTCGACTATGGTGCCAAATTCATGCACGAGTTGTACACCTTCATAAACCAACAGAATCACTCTGCTGAAGCAGTAGACAAGGTAAATGAAGTAAAAAGGCGATGTGCTAGTCTTTTAATCGAGGCCTTAAAACAGGTGGAAAGAAGGCTTCCAGCATCGACGGGGATCTTCAAAGGCTTGAGTGCGTTTGCTCCATGCAAGGTATTGTGCCAGACTGCCACACACACTCACAACCATAAACTCTCTCCCTTAGAGAAAACTACATCTAATATCAATCTATTAAGGTCTTTTAATCTCTCATTCATTGCACATCAACTTCGATTTCATTGATCAGATATTCAACATGCTATGTAACTGACTATATATTGTATATTCTCTTTAAAATTTTACTGTTGCCCGAAATGTAATGTAAAGTAACCCCCCCTCAAGCAACTGTCTGATATAAGCAACCTAGATAAGGTTTTCACATAACAAACAGAACTTGGGGACTTACCGCATGTTGTGGAGACTGATTTGGAATTTCCAGGGAGAATGGATTCAACACATTGGCGTCGTTAAAATCTGAACCTAAAAAACAAAAGAAAGTTACAGTAAAATAAAATGATAATGACGTGCATATATTACGGTACAGTATATATATACATTTTTTTTGCAATGATATAATCCATTTTCTCACAACCTCGCATCATCCTCTCACACCCAAACCACAGAGACAACGGAGAGAGATACTGTATTGATTCTTCCTCAAGTACCATTTGCTTCCACAGCTGTGACTAACCTCTGATCAACTTACTAGGTTTGGATAAGACAAAATGAGGATAAAACGGTGAACAAACCATCGATAATGACCCTAATACAGTATAGTATAATGTGTAAATACTGTGTACATTCTCTTCCAACAAAAGATTTATTAATACAGAATTTACGTGATTACCTGTCCAGTACAGCAAACCCTTGTTATTCGTGAGGGATAGGTTCCAAGGAATGGCGCAAATAGGCAAAACCGCGAATAGCCAACTTGTACTACCTTAGTGCACTACTGTATACCTATACCAGACAACCGACCAGCCACGGCAGCACTCATCCCTCCTTTAACTTGTCTAATAATTCAAATTTCTTTGTCAGGGTCATCACTGACTTCTGCCTTTTACATTTCACTCCACTAGCATCACTAGCACTAACACTAGGCAATCTTTTAGGGGCCATTTCACACAGAAACACTAATGTTTTGAGAGTACAACACGAGACGCTGCGTGGGGGCGACTCGGTGTGCTGTGGGAAAAGGCTTGCAAGCAAGCCACCATAGCCACCATCTGCTTACCGCGAATTGCAAACCCGCGAATGGGAAGGGTTTACTGTACTGTCATTAATTAACACAGGTAAAACACTGACCTCTCATGATAAATTCCAGTATATCAGGGGTCTGCATGGAATCCTCTTGCCCTCGCCCATTTCGTGCTGTCAATGAAAATGAATCGGGTTATAAAACCAAGTAAAAATAAATAAATAAATAAATAAAAATTCGCAAAACAGACATGAGCAAGGTTGAAAATAAATACTATAGTACTGTACCTCTTTGTGTGTAAGTAATCACCTGTTCAAGAGTACAGTACAACTACTTCTGCACATTATTTACTATTTTATTAAGTTTAATCCTCCAATGCCCTACACATTCATCAAGCACACTCTTGGTAGTTCTCCTTCACCACACTAAGCTATCTCCATCCACTCACCGCAAAATTAATTCACCTATATGATCATAAATCAACACACTTCAGTCACCACTATATACATCTGGCTTCAAAAATTTTAAATTCAAGTAATCAGTGTTAATTAATGACACATCAAATAATTAAACACATTTAAAATGTCAATTTTGTTGTGCCTGATGTTTTATGTTGCCTTTATATACATTTCCTCAACATATAGACTAACTTTATCATTTCTAAATGCTAGTTTCCACATTACAGAAGAAAGTCTGTTTGTTGCTCCTTGGTTTACGGTACACGAGGTCAAAACGAAGACTCTATTAAGGATCTGGGTTCAAAATTCTCAAATTTAGTGTTAATTAATGACCCTTCAAATAATTAAACAAATTTATAATATTTTAAACGTCCATTATGCAATGTCTGATAATTCTAAATCCCTTTACACACATTTTGTGAAGAATATACGGTAGACTAACTTTACTATTTCAACAAATTACTTTAATTTTCCAGATAAGAGCTCTTATTGTCAAGACACACCTTCCTTATACAGTGAGTAACAATACAGTGGTCCCTCGGTTAACGAACGGTTCAATTAACGAATTACCTCCCATAAGGATCTTCAATTCGTTTAATGAACAAAACTTCGATTAACGAAATCCTTACGAACAACACGTTTTGTTGAGAGCATCAGCTGATCAGCTGATGGGCTAGTCTGCCAATTCAGTAATCTGTTCTATGTTTACATTTGTTTCCAGTGGAGTAAATACAGTATCAAGAAAGTTGTGGTCTTTAATATTTTTGCATTTTTTATATTAAAATTATCAGTCATTTTAAAATTTAGTTAACATATTGATAATATATGCAGTACAGGGAACTAATTTTTTGTGCGCCCATCAGCCGCTTGACTCAGCCACCAGGCGTCAGTATGGCTTTGTTGAGAGTGGAGTGAACATCTATTTTGTTGGTGTCTTGAATATTTTTGCATTTTTACATTGAAATTATTGGTCATTCTGAAATTTAGTTAACATATTGATATAAGTACAGTGCAGTGTTGATTTAAATAAAATAATCTTGAATTACACCTAGTGAACTTAAAATTTTATTGGTGAAATGACGGCATCAAGCATGGGTCCCCTGAACGGTGATTTCTCCTCCATCCCCACTTCCTTATCTTCTCCCTTCTCCTCCACACCCACTTCTAATTCCCATCATCATCAACCAGGAACCTTTTACATGCACACCTCAAAGTAAGTGTACTTTACTGCATTTTTTTTTACTTTGCATGTACTTTTCTGTGAGCTGGAACCAATTACCCATTATCCCACTGAAACAATGGATTCGGTTAACGAACGACTCTGTACCGAATTGTGTTCGTTAACCGAGGGACCACTGTACTTCTTATTATTCACACTATTCACCAGACACATATCATATCCTTAAGCATATCATATACAACTTCAAACATGCTTCATGCTTATGCATCCAAACTCCTTGCTTTAAACCCTGTTGGTGGGTGGCTTTGATTACTGTATCCCCAGGAATGACCCTGCCTTGCCCGCTGTTCCCACCCTGTAAGGAGGGGGGGGAGGGGGGGTAACTGGGGGGGTACATCCTATTCTGGTTATATCCAACAACTGCCATCAAATAATTATTGTGGTTAACCAACACAAGTGTGGAAAATGACTGAGACATTGATGACGACAATATGGCTGGATCAACTATTTCTTCATAAAGCCTCGTCTTTGGATTCTCTGATACAATTCATTCCTAATATTTTCTTTCCCTTAACTACTCCATGATTCAGTTCCCAACCCAATGTTCCATCTACTGATACTGTACTGTATATTCTTGCTCTGCCAGGTAGCTGACACGCCTCACTTTGTCCATCTGCCTCCATTCATTTCTGTTGACTGTCTCTTAACAAAATCTCTTTCAAACTCACCCACCAGAGCAGAACCACCCACAAACAGCATCCAGCAGCCCATACCCCTAAGAAACATGCTTGTGTCCCTATCCAGTAGTACTCTAGCTTTCACCCAAGTACACCAGCCAATAAAATATTGAACAACTATGACAGTTTTACACATTCTTCATATTGTCTCACTTTCACCAGGAATAACCTGGCCCTGTCGCATGCCCAGGCACCGTCACACCAACTTGCTACAGTCCAGGTGATAGCGGCAGGACAGTAGGGGCGGCGTATACTGTATTCATGTTCGGAAACCCATGTGGCACTAAGCAGGCAAGGTATGTACACCCCAGGTCAACAACCTTTCTGCTCAGAGCCTGGATCACAGTAATACCTTCATGGGAATTCAATATGTGAGTAGTACAAAGTCACCTTGTCCTCCCTTCCTCTATGACTTTGATATCAGAAGACTGTGGGATATTATAAGGTGCTTGAGATATGTGATTTGTTTGTATTGCCATTGAGGATCTTTCTAAGACAACTGTTTAGACATTCTTCCCATTCTCTCCCACCTACAGCACAATAACAAGAACTAATTTATTGCCAACGTTATCTTTGCCAGGCTACACATGCCCTTTCTTTATCTTTGGATGCAGAAGTACAGTAGTCACACTGTGCCCAGGATTTATGCATTTGTAACTGTTTGTAAACCTACCTAGACTCAGTTTCGATGGGAAGAGTAACATGGACTTTTGTTTGGTTTTCCATTAAGGTCGAATTGTGAAACCTAATGAGGGAATAAAAAGCTGCACTATACTGTACACCCTTATCAACCTACTACTGTACTGTATAAATTTTAACCCCACGTCCTTAACACTTCTGTAGTGATACCAGCAATACCTCGTGTCTTACCATTTCCAAGATACTTTATATCCTGTCATACATTTCCCTCACATATACAGTACTGTTTATATCCTGTCATACATTTTCCTCAGTCCTTCCTTGGAGAAAACCTATATACTAGAGAAACGTTATCGTCATAATGCTGGGTTGTAGACATAGATGATGAGAAGTGACACAATCTTAAGAATCCTAAATGATAAATAGAAGATGAAATACGGATAAGGTGACCACCACTCGCTGTTCAATCAAGACCATGTGCTGAAACCTACCAACACTACGCAATATGTGACCCCAATTTAATTTGGTTCTAGCTCCCAATAACATAAATGCTGTATTGTACCTTTTTTCTTACTAATTATTGGTCAAATAATTGTAACTAATAAAATAAACTAGAGAGATATGTGTTTAGAATAACTTGCTCTCCCCCAGTGACTTCATCATCAGTCACACCTTAACTGGCATCCATGTGTCAATACTAATGTTAGGATTTATAATTAGGTGGACAGAATACGGGTTTATGGCCACAGGTGACAAACTGGTGAATAGTGAAACAAATGTATTTTTTAATTTACTGTTTATTGGATCCATCACTCAAAGAAGTTTATCGAACTTTTTCTCGAAGATCCTGACTGGAGTATTAAATTAATATCTGTAAGCAATTATCTTAATACTGAGAAGATACACTTGTTAGGTAAGAAGCCAAGGCGACATACCTCTTGATATTTGGATAACGTACAATGCTCAACAAATAATTCTAATGGCATAATAGGAACTTACAATCAAACAGCTGCCCCTTGACATATTTTTTTTGCACATACTTAAAAGGATAAGATAACAATGCAGGCGAATAAATTAAAATAGAGAAGCCATCAAGTTTCAATTACTGTACTTTCACTTCCAAAGATAACACCAACTTCCTTCTTACAGCAACGCAAAACCATATTCTGTCACCTAAACATAAATTCAACCTAATAATAATACTAAAAAGACTGCCCTATAATAAATAATTTAGCTGCCCTACACTTAACGTTCTTCAGTCTTGGTCGAACACACGGAAAGATAAACGGTAAGGAAAGTCGCTCATCACTCCTACAGTACATCTAAGTCACTACCAAACAGCATCATGAATTAACAAACACCAACGTCAGCTTACTATTGTTACTCAGATCTATGGCTTCATTGGTGTATGGGTTGAAGTTGAATCTCTTGGCTGGAGGATCATTAAGGTGCCTCTTCCCCTCCTCCAGTGTGTTCTCCAGGTTCACCCTCGAGCGCTTCAGACCTGCAAAGAAGAAGGAGCAGTACATTTTGAGTCTTTCTCCACCTAATTATTCACTTCTCAAACAAAAGATAAATAAATAAATAAAAGCCATTGGACATGTAATAAAATCTTACTTAAGGGATCAAAATCTTCATACATCTTTCCTTAAATCTAAATCAAGCTATCAGTGTGAGAGCCATGTTGCGTACAGTATGTCAACGCAGTACTTTATGTTATCACTACAATCTGGCTTCAACTGATCATGGTAACACAGCCTATGTCCTTTTATTCCAGTAAGAATTCTTTTCCTGCCAGAGTCATAGTAACACCTTTATGCCAGCCACATGCCAACAGAAATATCAAGGATTTTGACCCTCACCTGCACCCAACACAATGTAATGAAAGACAGCAGGAAACTATAAATTTAAATGTTTGGTTTAGAGGTTTATTATTGTATATATGATGATGATGATGACTGTGTAGTTATGATAAAGAACCAGGTTTATAATCCCTTTAATCATCATCATCATCATCATATTTCACCGTCTCTTGCAGCCTCTCTTGTGATGTTCCTAACTCTGTCATTTCTTATATTCACTCATCATTCTTGGCCAACACCTGGTTCTCCTTCTCTCTATTAGGCTCATGTACCTCTTAACCCCCCCTCCCCAAAAGGCAAATAAAATAGAATCTGAATCAGCATAAAATAGAATCCAACTCTACACAAAATGGAATCTGACTACACAAGTTGGAATCTAATTACAGAAAATGGAATCTAAATCTTAAGTAAAATAAAAAACAATCTGACTACATCTTATATTAAATAATAGAGAAGACAATAAAATCTGGACTATAAAAGGGGGCACTCCATCAACAACAATAACCTGACATTAAGTACATACTGTCTGGGATATAGGTGAAGTCAAGAGGGTCGCTCGTGTCTCTGTCGGTGGGACGCTCGAGTTGTACTTTGACCCGGACTGAAGTATTTAAGTTTGTAAATCGATAACGAGGAGTTCTGAAGAGAGGAGAGAACAAAATAAATGAAGAAAATCGATGAATTAAGTTACCTGTCAATCACACGCTATATAAAATGGTTGCAAATCTATTGGCAAAAATAGCACATTTAAATATTGAAAATTCCAGGAACAAAAAATATTAATAATAAAATAAGTAAATACATATGAAAAAAACAAGTGTCAAAGCACAAAATACTCACTTGAAGACAATGGCATACTGGTGGTGGACGTCAGAATCCGTGAACTCTCCATACGCCGCCCAAACCTCCCGGTCATTCTGATCCAACTCAAAGAACTTGACTTGTATATTGTCTGAAGAAAAGAAGTAGGATCTGTGATGACACTATGTTATAAATTCCCTCTTTAGTATAAGTTTTTTCTATGCCACTAAATACAGGACGGTGATATACGTGTAATATTTCTTTTGGGCTGTTTTAAAGTATCCATCAATTACAATTTTAATTCTCTTGACTACCTCCCAATTTATTCCCATCTGAAGTAACTATAACACTCAGAAGCAATAAAGAACAAATCCAAATCAAAACTACTATATGATATTCCCATTAAATAAAATAAAACAAAAACGTATTCTAATACTGACTGGAAAATGAAAACTTACTTCTTCTGACTTTTTCAACCAATAACCAGATTTCAGTTCCGCCGGTACAAGGGGCCGTGCAGGCTGACATTCGCACAATCTTGAGTTCTCCTGTGGTGGCATTTTCTGTTGGAGAGAGAAAAGTTAAAGTCTCCCCTTTTTCTAAATTTACAGGAAGCTTCTACTAGTCACTAAGCTTTATCTACACACATTAAGCCTTATACAAAAGCTTCTACTAGTCACTAAGCTTTATCTACACACATTAAGCCTTATACAAAAGACCCTCATTTTTATGCCAAGGCTGCATCCCTGAAAGAGACAGATAATACTGTATCCCTAAGTAATCGAGAAATAAGTTAGATCCTAAGTACCACATTCAAAATAAGTATTAATGATACTTTATGTGTTATCTTCGGTAAATATTTATACTGTATGTGCATGTAAGAGTGTATGTACTATCGTGAACAAGTCATGTTGCCTCCTCTGCTACTCCACGAACCCAGAGATTCAGACTCGTGAATCCAAAGCATTTAATGACAGAATAACGCATCAGTGCCTACAGCATCGGGTTCACTAGATTGAATCTTGGGGTTCATAAAGCAGTAGAAGAGGTGATAAGACTTTACATCACAACTATACTGTATGAATCTCTACTAGACAAATTCTAATCAAACCCAATTCCTCAAATCACTTGTATATGCAGTAATGTACCACACATACAATGAATCCTCTATATAACGGACTATATGGAGAAGAAAATATGTTATCTCGAGGGTCCATTACATGTGAAATGTCCACCTAATGAACTACATAGATTAAAGTCCGTTATATCGAGGGTACGTTAGATGTGAAACCCCCATCTAACAGCTTATGTGGGGAGAGAAATCCGTTACGTGGAGGTTTCACCATAAGCTGAATACTCAACCTCTACACAAGTAACCGTAAACAAAACTCACTGAGGTTAAAGACTACATCTGAGTCTACAGGAAGGGTGATGGCTCGGTACCTCTCAATACTCTTGTCGTACTGGAATGCTTGGAATCTCAAAACCACTTTATTCAGGTCCATGGTCTTGGCCTCCTCGTCAGCCTCTTCATCCATCTAAGCACAGGTAAAAGGTTAAAGTCAGTATCACAGGTAAAAGGTAAAAGTCAATATCACAGGTAAAAGGTAAAAGTCAGTCTCTCAGGTAAAAGGTAAAAGTCAGTCTCTCAGGTAAAAGGTAAAAGTCAGTCTCTCAGGTAAAAGGTAAAAGTCAGTCTCTCAGGTAAAAGGTAAAAGTCAGTCTCTCAGGTAAAAGGTAAAAGTCAGTCTCTCAGGTAAAAGTCATTATCACAGGTAAAATACGAAAATCAGTATCACAGATGAAATAGAATCCGTTTAATTTCAAGCCATTTTATCACAATACAGTGGTCCCTCGATTAACAAAAACAATTGGTTCCACAGAGTCGTTCGTTAACCGAAAATTTAGTTAACTGAATCTATTATTTCAATGGGATATTGGGTAATTGGTTCCAACTCACAGAAAAAGTACATACAAAGTACTGTATACCGGTAATAGATTTAACAAAACACTAAATATAAACTAAATACAGTACTGTACAGTGTACTGTATAATAATAAATAAATAACAATAGAATATTATATTTTAACTTACTTTGAGGTGTGTATGTCGTATTCCCGGCAGCTTTGTTTACATATCAAACGGCTGATTGTAGAGGCAATCGATGATGACATGCCATATTCCTTACAGAGTGCATTGGTTCTAAAGCCTTCTTCATGTTTCATAATAATTTCTGCACTGTATATTATCAATGTGAACTAAATTTCAGAATGACCAATAATTTTAATGTAAAAATGCCAAAAAATTCAAGAACACAACTTTCTTGATATTTACTTCACTGGAAACGAATGTAAACATAGAACCAATTACTGTATTGGCCGATTAGCCGATCAGCTGATGCACACAAAAAAACGTGTTTCTCGTAAGGCTAGGGTTAATCGAAGTTTTGTTCGTTAATGGAAATGAAAATCCCTATGGGAGATAATTCGTTAACCGAAATTTCGTTAATTGGACCGTTCGTTAATCGAGTGACCACTGTACTGTACAATACAGTATTTAAAATAAGCTTTCCCACAGATAAAATCCAATCATGCTTAAAAATAATTTATAACACTGATGATGATACTAATATAACAATTGCATCCTCTAAATATGGAAATAAGCTATATGCAACATAGTCATTTCACATTGCACTATTATCATTTTGCTGTGAAACATAGATCCTTTACTCAATAGTCAAGAAATTCATAAGCATGTTGATGACCCCAGCTGGTGCCTTACCCTCTTGTGATCCGTGGGTGTGATGCTCATTTCTATCTCCTTGTAGCCACATTGAGGTTTACGAACACGTGCGTGACTTAGTAAATCGTCCTTCTTGCGTTGAAAAATTATTTCTCTTGTGTCTCGCTTGGCAATGTGTATGATCCCAAGATTCTGAAAACTAGAAGTAATATTCAATTAGCATCTCGATAAAGGTCGTTGAAGATTTTACTCGTTGGCCAACTTCAGGATCAAAGAGTGATAAAGAGCATCCCTTTTAATTGAGTTTCAACAAGTATGAAATCAAGCAAGTCAAGTTCTATTACTCCCTACAGTTCCCCTCACACCAGACTTCCTTGTACAACAAATACATAACCTGTGCTGTACCAAAATTCCATCATATTAAGTATTACCAAGTTAATTAAGATTTCTTTAAGGACAATTCTTTTACTCATCCAACTTCTTTGGAATTTAAATGTAAAGAATGAAAACTAATCATTAATGATGCCCCAACACTACACAATACTGGCAACTACTTACACTGCAGTGTAGTCACATTTGTCATCAACCACTACTTCACAAATTCCAGTTTCTCTGTCACAATTCTTCCCTGAGAGCTCATGTACGTGGCGTTTACGTTGATTGACATTGTCTTCAGCCGTGTAGAGTGTAAGACGGATAACAGCCGGCCCAAGACTCCACTTAGCTAGCTGTAAATAAGAGAATGGTTTTACTTGGTCAACTATAAATAACCACACATATACCATCTATACGCAAATTCAAATTTCTTCAATAGTTTTCAAGAAATATATCCACCAACACCATACAGAGACCTTCACTCTCTCTTAGGTCAGGTTTCAGTTACAGATTGACTAGAATGATAATCTTAAAAGACTGGTGTTAAACATATTTGTATTTTCAATGGCAGTAAGACTGAACAGAAAAAAAAATATTTATCTATATCACATACTACACATATTAATGTTTAGTACAGTACTTTCATCTGAAAACATGTGCAAGATCTCCTGTAAGCACAAGGCCACCAACCAACTTCACAAACTTTACATTCCAAACTTTTTAAACCATCAACGACTTCAGCCTCCTGTGCTCTGACATTCAAAGGCTGACCTATTGTAGGCATGAGACACCAAGCCCCATCCATCTCCTGTCTTCAGAGAACCATAACCATAACATCAAGGGCCCTAACCTAACCTAACCTACACAAGACTATTGGCTTCATCAGGAGGCAGTGGTACAGGAAGAGGTGAATTTTTACCATCCTGTAGTGAAGCAGACTTTCCTGATCCCTGTGACACGATCAGTACACATGCAGGGTTATTATCACGAAATGAATAAAAAATGAGGCAGGAAGTGGAATATCCTGTCCCTCCCCTTACCATGAACTAACAAAGTCATCACATCCCACAATAGCATGATGACCAGTTTCCTAAAAGTGGTATACAGTAGCAGCTTTGGCACTAGTTTAGGTCCACAGTGAAAAATGCTATCCAACAATATGACATAATCCCCACATTCATCAACAGAACTGTGGACAACAATTCCATAATTCAAACATTTATAATGGATGTTACATGTGTAGAAGACTGGAAGTATATTCGGCACAAAATAGCAACCTTATGATGGGAGACAAGTGTTATATCCACTTAGCTGCTGGGCTATGTTGAATATCCTATAAATAGCCAATAGGCCAGATCCCACAGCAGGTACAACACTATCCTACTACTGTACATGCTGAACTATTACACCAAGGCACAACACAACACTGGGAGGCATTGTCTCTGAAAACCAAATAGTCAACCATCCTCAAACTATGTCATCTAAAAATTTTAAACACTTTTCCAATTCAATGAAAACACACCTACCATTATACTAACACCTACGAATGCTTGGCCACATTCAAACTCCGAGTCAAGTGCCGAGTTTTTTTTGTTCAGCAGCACTCACCAGGTGACTGCCTACAGAGAGGACTAACTTTACTCAAGAAACTGGAATTAAGGAGGTTGATCTTAAAATGGTATTTTATCACCAATTATGATGATTGACAAGTGCTCTGGTGCTGGTTTGAGGGTGAAACTCAATGCTGGCAGCCTTTAGTGGTGTCATATCTATAAAGTCTCTTTTAGAAACTCAGTTACCGTACGATGGACAAACGTTAACTAAATTCTATCTACAGGAGTGTCGGTAATCCCGGTCACATGTCTAGGTCCTCGCCTTGGGGTTTTAACTCAAGGAATTTTGGAGACTCTTAAATCATGAATCCCAGCCATAAATTTACAGAAATACTTAAACCTTAAAAAATTACAAAATAAAATACTGTACTGTATTGCATTAGAGAAATAAATAAAAATAAAAGCTACAATATCAAAAGTTCATTACATCCAAATTGGCCACAGGATGAATCATTACTACACCTGAGGAAACACACTAATGTACTGTACTAACAAACTGCTTATGATACAACAATGCATTACTCTTCTCTTTGTCTCTTAACAGTTACAGTTTGATGATCTAAACATTTAAAACCTCCTACATAGGCATAAAAACTCACCTTAACTGTGGGGAACACCGCCCTGTTCTTGTCTGCCCGGTCAGCCTTCAACTGTCCGTGCGTGCCGACCATTTCACTCTTGTAACGGAAGCGGAATTTCGGCTGCGGCTGTTCCAGTAGGTGTATGTATGGCCCATCATGATGAACAGCTGTTAAATGAGAATGTGTTACCATTACAGTATTCTATAAATGGGTAAAATGATACTGCAGTAATATACAGGTAACACCCTTAACCCTAATTAAACTAAGGGGAATTAAAAATAAATAAATACAAAATAATTTCCTTAATCTCCCTATTTCCAACTTCATATAATACTGCACATACTATTACATTTAAGAGATGTAGTAAAAGTATGATGGGTTCCCAAATGTCATAGACCAAACTTATAAGGATACTCCCACCTCATTCTACATACAGTATACAGTACTGACCATCATAAGGGCGGTTGAAGGCAGCAACAACCGTTGGGGGCGAAGGAACTCCAACGGAATGGTCAGAAGAGTATGGAGAGGCTGACTCTCCTCTGTATGGGGAATTCATCCCACCACTGTAATACATGCAAAACAAGGTCAGTGTCGTGTACATAGAACAGTGTCAAGGATACAGCGCATACTGAAGATAAGTTTCAGGCCTTTAAGGAACATAACACTAGACACAGAGAAGATTGTATCAACTGGTTACAAAAATAAGAGCACCCATGACAGTTCTCCATAACAGCAGAAAACAACAATTAGCTTTCCCTTCTTCTTTTTCAAAATCCAGGAAGGGACCAAGTGAACCCCAGAGGAGCCAAGAACACACTGCTTTCTCCCTTTAAATAATCTCTCTAACATACCCTGCTGGATCAAGAGGCTCCTAAGTGTACAAGGCAAGAACAAGACTAGGAAACTACATCTGGAAAGGTTTCCTAAAATGTCACCTCCATAGTAAATAAAAAGCTGAAACAATATTCTAAGTATTTCCTGCAGGAGAGACACACCTATTGAAATCCTCAGTTTTACTTTGTTCAACTACAATACCAAAAGGATATGCTGCTGAAGGTGCAGTATTTTAGGCAATAGGCAACTCCTTATTATAGTTAAGTTTTGGGTGAGAACACTGCTCAATGTACTTCATGCTGTACACTAAAAATCCAATGAAGGATTTATGGAGAAAAAAAAAAAGGAGGGTAAATATTAACATTTGGGATAACACAAGTTATTTTGGGGGTTTGGTACACAGATCACCTAATTTTAACAAAGAGTGTTACCATACCTGTACAAAATCTTCACCATTCTATTCTGAGGCAACTGTAGGCCTCTTTTGGGCCAACTTTGATCAAATTGGAGTATTATTTTACTTTCGGACATAGCGTCCCCGAAAGTTATAAACTACTGAAACATTTCAATCTAGCTATTCTGAGCATTTTGAACCCCATATATACACGGCGGAAATGGATAATAGCGACACAGGTGAATTTAACTGATTTCAGGTGAATTTAACTGATTTTAAGTAGTTTTCAGTCTTCGTCAGTGAGATGTTATCGGAACATCATGCATGCGTAATATTGACTGACGTCATCCAGTCTCGATCAATGAGGTATCGATATCTTCACGCAAATTTTTTTTTATTTATCATCACATTTGATTTTTATCAAAGGAAGTAGCCTTGGTAATTTCATTGACCAGTCTCACAATGGCCGTGGTGGAGGTTAGTTGTCGTTTGTGCTCCTACGATTACTTTAAGTTTATTGTAGCGTTTTATGAGAAAGATGATCATTCTATCCAATTCTTACGTATCCCTGGTCCTCCACTTCTAACTAAGGTATTGCACTTTTGGACATGGCGCGCCCCAGTTTTTAATTACTGAAAAATTTAGGTTAGTTTAAGCCAGGCCTACCGGGGTTCCGGGGGCAGAGGCCTGGCTAGAGGTCAGGTTAGGCCTATCGGTGGCTAGGAGTTAAGAGTTATATTAAGTTTTGTTAGGTCAGATGACTCGTTTTCATTTTCTCCCCCATTCAAAAACCCACTTTCCCAGGCTCTCCCCCATTATTGTTGGGGGGGGGGAACTATCAATTTCCGCCAAAAATGAAGGTTAGATTCGTTTAAAACACACCAAAATACACTGGAAAAACATACTGGACTACCTCTATGGACTCGTGTCCTAAAGTAAAAATTTACCAAAATTGGGATACCTCAGATAATTTCCCAGAAAAAGTCAAATTTCCCGAGATGCAAACACCGGGCCCAATTCCTGCATAGTTTGTATGCGAAAAAAAATAAAAGCCCAGCTAATTTTACTGAAAGCTATATCATACACATAAGTTGATCGTTGAAAGTATATATAAGGGAAGTAGTACAGTAATAGCAAAACTTTAAATGATACATTGAGAGATCGTACAGTCCATAAACAGAGATGGTACAGTTGCAGAAATATGTTCCTCACCTCTTGTGGTAACCCGTGTCTCCAAATGGCACAGTAGTAGTATCACTATTTAAGAAAAATTAGGTATTGACAGAGACGTGACCGATCGCCCGGGCGGCTAGCGAGCCGACCTTTTGGTGAAGAATATAAAGGAAAAGAGACGTGACCGATCGCCCAAGCGGCTAACAAGCCGATCAGTGGCGAAGAGGATAAAAGTAAAAAAAAAAAGTAAAAAGTGTAATGACGGACGTGATTGGTGGATAGGTTTGCTATATACCGGTAGGTCATGTAGGTTGGCTGTTTGGAGAGACGGGTTACCACAGGGGGGAGTAAAACCACATTTCCACAAGTATACATCACGACACTGGAAAGTACATTTAGTCTAGCTCTTGGTACATTGCAAATAGGTCACTGTAACATTCTGGCATTGATACACTGCGACCATGAATTGTGCTGTGCTGGTATTTAATTATTAGCTTCGTGAATAATTGTTGCATCTATCAACATTCTAAGATAATATAAATCTCTTTATGGTGTCATCCCATTTGACCGATTGTCTGTTTGATGCAATTTTTACCATCTTAGTTAAATGATCAGGTTAAGTTAGGTTAGGTTAGGTTAAATAGCATAAAACAGACTATCGGACAAATGGGAATGTAATCCTCTGTACCCCTTTTACCACTGGCAAAAATTGTCAGTGGTTCTTGAGTTTTTAAGATTGTTTACACCAACTGGCAAAAACTGTCAGTGGTTCTTGATTTCTTAAGTTGCAGCGTGCAATATGTATACTACACTACTATGAATTTAGTCCAATGAAATGGCTAATAAGCTTTGGAATCACAGGACTGTGGCGTGATTTTAGCTGAAATGAACCAGTGAATGATAATACGATCAAGTTTGGCAGCACAGTACAGTACTCAGGTGATTCATTCCTATTAAAATGAGAAACAGTTAAGCAATATTTTCTTATCCATTCACTGTAGGAGTGGTCACATAATATACATTTTTTATTGCCATCTTTTCTGTTTATTGTTAAAGTTCAAGACATTACATACTGTCACCTTCTGAAACTTATAAATTTCTCATAAATAATTAGAAAAGACTTGGATTTCAAAATTATGCCACTCAAATATAACCCTCCAAATCCGTTCACGTGTATTTGGAGAAAAATCATCGTTTTCTTAGAGGTTTCTTGAAGGGAGGAGGAAGATAAGACGGGAATGTAGCCAGAGCCGACATGATCCCTTCGCCTCCTGCACACGGTGAAGATGAACGCCCCCCTGCACACACTCTTCTACCTCCATGTTCCTACCACCACAAGCACACATTCACCTTGACAGACGGGACTTCAATACAGTCCTCGATTTACTCATAGTCCTGTAAGGTAACCCGCGCCTCTGACCACCACCAAACACTTGGCAATATTATGGCTGTTCTCGCCCTACTGCTGTCGTGACAGAAACTGGCCTTGAAATTTCTCAGCCAAATATAATCATACACTTCAAACTAAGTCATTCAATATATTCTTAGTATAATCATGGACGTTCTCCCTTACCAATATCGGTATTGTTCTCCTGTGACACTCCAAAATGAAGGGAACTTTTAACTAAACAGCTTGCCACACTGTTTACGGGACTCTGGGAAATCCCCAGTTCCAATAATGTTTACCCCAGGGTGAGGCAGAGGAGGAGTCTTGGATCCCACATACAAATATCTAAAGTGGTTACCATACGACAAAATATGAACTATAAGGTGTTGTAACCTTTTTATTTTAACCACCTGTATGAGTGTGTATGACATTAAAGCGATAAAACTCCATGATATTGCAGTCTCCCTTCAGTTTCCTAAATATTGCACAGTTATTTCAAAGTTCACTTACATAAATTGTTGTTCGTAAAACATAGTCCACTAATGCTTGATGTGTATTGCACGACTCATAACCAGACACTAAGATCCAAGTTCAACTTTGGAAGACTTTATAGGATGGGATGCTTCTCAGAAGGGGTAATCCCCCTCACAGACGGGCCTGGTGGTGGAGCGGCAAGTTCGTCAGCTTTGCCGTCTCTCCCTGGGTCAACTGCTGTCCACTAAACCTTACTCACACCAGGATGCGAGGGGTACTTTTACCACTTCACAGGGGAGAGTGGCGAGTCAGTATCATGTTTTCTTCCGAATAATTATGATAAAAGGATGCCCCCCACTTATTTTACTCTGCGATTAAAGACCCTAACACCGCTACCTTAAGGATTTGGTTAGGTGAAACAGACTGGAGGCTAATCTTTAGGCAATCTGTGGTAAACTATTTGCAAGGCGGAAAAAATTATCGAGGTAATATACAGTATAGATTTACACGATCTGCATATTTTTGTGGAGAACCTTAAAACAAAAATTTTGGGGGGAAACGTACATTTATGTTATTCTTGACAACTAATACAACTTTTTTTCGTGCCTCTCTCTCTCTCTCTCTCATAAACATTTTCCTCTCCCTCTCCTCTCTCGCACCTCGACCTCACATACTCTGACACACTTCTCTGGCGCACACACTCCTTTTCACGCACACTGCCTCCCTCCATTACACACTTCACCTGGCACAAACGTTCTCTCCCAATGACACCACACACACAAGACATGAACCAGTAATTTTATTGGAGACCTTTGCATATCTTTACTTACTGGTTAAAGAAGCATAAAAGTACAAATGAATTTACTGGCTCCCTTAAGCAGAATAAAAAGGCAATTACGGTAGTATAGACAATTATGATGGTAAGCTGTTCATATTAGGTCCTGTACTATTATGGCCATTCTATTAAAATTATCACGAGTGTATTTTTGGTCCATAAACAAGATTAATTACCTCTCAATAAATTTTATCATCTAAACAAGAAAAAAAATCATGTTTAGCAGACTGGATCGATATGATGAAGATTCTTAGTAACTGAACATGTAAAGCGTACCTAAATAATGATGAATTTAAGGTGAAATGAAATACCGTCTTGATGAAATATCAAAATTAAACTGAGACGCTATAATTAATATATAAAGTTAGGTTAGGTTAGGGTGGTTAATATTTAGAGAAAATTAGATGAAGAACCTCCACCCCAGCTTATTTCATCTAGATATTAACTACCCAAACACTAACCTAAC